GGAATACGTCGATAGGTCTAATAATAGTAGTATATTCTCATTTTTTACATGAGGGACGCCAGTTTACAGGCATCATCAATATGATAAATTACATATACGATTAGTTAGCATATTTAATAAAAGTAATTTAATAAAATACATTTTTTCCTACCTGTGTAGGACAGGCATTGTACAGGCATGGATAAGTATTATATAAGTTACATAAATTCGGTTCATGGTAAAATTATAAGGTTGCAGTCATTTTGTCTATGGGAACAATATGATAACTAGTCATTCAACGGAGCACATCAAGAAATATAGAAATATTATGTTCGCATTAACAAAAAAAAACCCAAGTATGTTTTGGATGGATTACAAATACTTGGGAAAAAATAAAGCTTGAAGTAATTCCTCCATATAACTTTGGTGTGTACGGCAACGAGTCTTATTCTTGATTTATATCCAAATTTGATAATAATTTAAAATAAGTAATACACTTGTGTACTTTTGTCAGCATTTTCATCGTAACATCATAAGTGAATTGTACACAATGTAGACTAATAATAATGATAGTTTATATATTCTTATAAACGGGTGTTTTCAAGAAATGCAAGCTATTTTGCAGACAAGATCAGTTATGTTGTAAGATACAATCATGAAGTATTATAAATCAATACTTTTTTATTGGTATGAAGATATATTTCCCAACTGTAATCCAAGTTACGTCGTGGGGAAATGCGATGCGTAATTCAAGAGGGAATTGTAAGATATCGGACCAATAATGTTTGCAGATCATTTGTCATTGTAAATGGTCAAATATCCCCATTCTTCATTCTCATTCAAAAAGTCAAATGGAAGCTGAAATGGTGAGAGACAAAAGAAGACAAACAACAACAACGCAAAAGAAAATAAGTGGAGTACTTAGGGAGTGATTAATATGTATATATACATTTATATTCTGTTTAGTAATTATAGTTATTTTGGTGCACTAACTAACTATTCCCGTGATGCTAACTTTTATATTGTGTGAACTAATATTATTGTCCTGTGTAAAAATGTCTATCATGTACTTCCAATAATATAAAAATTTATAATTGTAGTTTGTTGTAACTACACGTTTAATGAACTTAAAATATCTATGTTGGACGAAAAAGTGGGTGTAGGATTCAGACGCAGAAGTGCACTGTCATCTTTGAGCAGTCTGGTGACTGAGGAGATGAACACTGCCAGTGTGTTTGCATCGCGCACATCAGCTGGTAGCCTATTCCAAATGACTGAAAACTTATTTAAGAAGAAATTATACCGCAAGTAAGTCTGACAATGCTCTATAGCAGCTAGGTTGTGATGATTTCTAAGATTGTAACTGATGACAGCGGTAGGTTTAATTATTGGCTCGGAGGAGTGCACGAGCAGATTAGTTAGCTTGTAGTAAAAAATCAGGTTTAGCTTGAGACGTCTTTTCCAGAGTGGTTCTAAACTTAGTCTGTCGCAACGTTCATAGTATTGGAGACCACTTTCTAAACCAAGAATTCTTAAGGTGAAATGCCGTTGCACTCCTTCTAACTTAAGCTTGTCATTTTGCCTGAGTCCGCTAAGAATAAACGGGCGGTATTCTAAAATAGGTCGGACACATACTTTATATAATAAAACCCTAGTTTCACAACAAAAGAAATTGCGAGTTATGCATCCTAGGAGCCTTCGTGTTTTACGTCTGGCATAATCAGTTTGTTCAGAGAACGTTAAGTTACTAGAGTATCTGATACCGAGATCTACGACCGAGTTGAGCTTGGCTAGCTTACGCCCATTTATTTCAAGATTCGAGTCAAGGTTACTGTTTCCGATACAAATCCAGCCCCATTTATCAATTTTGAACTTTAGACAGGATTCAGTACACCATGTTGCAAGACCACTTAGTTCAAGATGTATTTTAGTTACCATATCGCTTAGTTCATGAGCGTAGCAGGAGTAAACGACTTTGAGGTCGTCAGCATATAGGAATGATTTACCTGAGGTGAAGCAGTTGCAAATGCTGTTAATGTATACTGTAAATAAAAGTGGACCTAGGACACTACCTTGCACAACCCCACTTGTGATCTGCCTAGGATGAGACAATACAGATCCAACCTTGGTTATTTGTACCCTATTGCTTAGAAACGATTTTAACCAGCTCAGTAATGGATTGCAAATCCCACATGAATATAGCTTCTCAGAGAGAATACTGTGAGATACCATGTCAAATGCCCTAGATATATCGAAGTAGAGAACAACAACTAGCTTACGTGCTTCGCGACTACTAGTGATGCAGTTGAAAAAGTCGAAGTGGCAAGTAACGCAAGACCTATTTTTGAGAAATCCATGTTGAGACCTTGCAACAAGACCTCCCTTAAGTAGATAGTCTGACAGTTGATCTTTGACAACTTTCTCCATGACTCGCGGGACAACTGGGGTTATATTTATAGGTCTGTAATTGCGGACGTTTGCCTTATCACCGGATTTGTAGTGTGGAATTATGAAGCTAGTTTTCCACTCATGAGGGTAAGTGCCAGTGTCCATAGATATTGAGAAGAATTTAAGAAGTAGTAGGGGTATATCACACCCACTGTTTTTGAGAATTATAGAAGAAAGGCCATCTGGTCCCGTGCTAGTGGAAGGTTTCAGGCTTTTAACTGCCTGTTCTATTAATTGGTCGGTGAACACTATGCTTCCGAGGAAAGAGCTAGTAAGAGGGCCGGTGTCACCAGGAATGCGCGTTTCTAAACTGAAGTTTGCAAACCACTCACTGAATATTTCACAGATGGTGGCAGGCTCATTGTAGATAACTTTGTCATGAAGTAAATAGGGGATGTCCCTCGTCGACTGCATTCGTTTTTTAAGAAGTGTTGTTAAGTTATAAACTTTGGAGGTGCTTTCAATTGCCCTTGATTCTTCGTCGAGGTCCTTTTGAGAGCGTTGGCGCTTGATAGATTCAAGAGACTCATGGATTGAGTGCAGTAGTGATATATCCTTAGTGGAATAGTACTGTTTCTTTAACTTCCTTAACTTATTGCGGCATGCCCTCGGAATGAATTCAGCTTGGTGTCTACTTAATTTCACTACCTTCTTAGAAGCAACAGTATCTAGACAAAGGGTAACATTCCTGTAAAATAGGGACACTACAGCCTCCAGGGAGTCAGTGGTAAAATATTCATCCCAGTGACAGAGTCGAATGAGTTCTTGGACTAATCCCAAGTCTGTGTGTTTGTAACTACGACAAATCAAACTCCCTGAATCCTGTTTGTTTCCTGTATTTAGTGATGAGAAAAGCAGAGAGCAGAGTACCATTCTACTACCACTACTGGAAAATCTGTTACCAACATAGGTGGAGACTGGGATTGTGTCATGACAAAACGCAAGGTCCAACATGTTGTCACCACGAGTGGGTGTCTGGACGTGTTGCTGCCATCCATAACAATCGATAGTGGCAAGTAATTCGTCGAAGCGTTGGGGGCCGGAACTACTCAACCAATTGACTTCTGGAAGATTGAAGTCCCCTGCGATTATTTTGTAATTAGTACTAAACGATGAGGCGTGTGCGAATGATTTAGCTAATAACGCATCAGTTTCTTTGGTTGAGCTTGGTGATCGATAAACACAGCCTATGAGAAGCTTGTACTTATCTCCTTGTAAGACGACCCAGAGTGAATCAGGTACCTCGTTCAGTATTTCATCTTCCACCTTACTGGCTACGAATGAGTTATGTATATATATGAGACATCCTCCACCACGCTTGCAGTCTCTATTTGCACGGTGTACAGTGTAATCATCTATGCCTATATGCACATCAAGTACAGAGTATGAGCACCATGATTCAGTAATCAGAGCTACAGTAGGCTTGGCGATAAATAATAATGACCTTAGTTCAGATATCTTATTGATTAAGGAACGTGCATTAATTAGCAGTATCGTGAATAAGTCACGGGATACTACAAACTGCCTTAAGATATCACCATAACCTAACTCTGTTTGTGCGTCAACAATGCACTCCATGAAGCCCAACACGGTTTCAGGAAAGGCAGATCCTGTGTAACAAACCTACTATCAGCTTGGGACGATTGGACATCATGCTGGGATATGAATGTTCCAGTCAATGTGGTCTTCCTAGACTTTGAGAAGTCATTTGACACCGTTCACCATGATCTTCTCCTACACAAAGTAAGCCAGGCAGGTATAGGTAAGTCACTTGTGTCATGGTTAAAGGACTACCCAGGTGAAAGGCAATTTCGCACTAAGGTCAATCAAGTCCGATCATCTTGGCACAGCTCGTCATCAGGAGTGTCGCAGGGTTCTATCCTAGGCCCACTGATGTTTTTGATTTTTATCAGTGATCTACCATGCCGTCTAAGCTTCCCGACTCTTCTATACGCTGACGAAGTAAAGATATGGAGGGTACTTTCTGTCAACCCTTGGTGCAGTCTGACAGAGGACTGACTGCTGCTGCCGAAGGAACTACGTGAAAGATTCTGTAGGAGCTAGAAGCTCCATCTAGAGAAATCCTCTCGTGAAGACAATACAAAACTCATGTTTCTCAAGCAGCGATGGCGTCGCGATAGAGCTTAAGCACTAGAGCAGAATATAATTCCGTATTGTATTCTACTATATACTCCATTTACTTAAAATGTAGTGTGCTGAAGACCTGTGTGCCCACTAAGTAGAGGTGTTTGGGAAGTCATTGGACAAATATCAGTCGCCGGGAGAGCAGAAAAGTAATTCCATATTAGATAATTTCACCTAAGGATACAGCATTGACAAATGGATGACATTCCGAGCATAAATCATTGCTCATAATAATATAAATTTTGCGCGCATCCGTAGTATAAGTAGACTATTCCTAGGAGACATTACTTGAACTACAAATGGCCAACTTATTGTTACACACTCAACTATTTTGCTTAAGTTTATTCCTTTATTCATTGCCCTTATCCATCTACAAAAGATATTGAATATGGGAGGTATTGAACACTGTATGTATTAAAACACTTTGGCGGGATACCAAAATCCTCATTTATTACTGCGTCATAGTCTTGTAATTATGTATAAAATAGAAAAGGACTCAGAAAGCAACTACCCTAAGGTTGTGAATACTACTGCAATAAGCAACATTTCTGAAAACGAATCTAGAATTAATGTAGTTGGTGTAGTTCTGCATAAACTGGCAATTAGACGTTGTAAATCCAGCCTTTCAGCTTCAAAAAGCAGACAAGCAGTTCTAGGGTTCACTTTGAGAGACAGTGCAACGGACTGGGTGAACGTGAGTTACTGGGGAACATTTTCGAATGCAAACCACGTGTCATCACAATTTAGTATAGGTGGGTAAATGAGATAACGTCACTGTCGAAAAATCATTTCAGGTGATTGCATTGTTATTTTTAATGCAAGAGCAAAGTTAAAAGAACAAAATTCGTATGAAAGCCGCTTCATGGTTCAAACGACTTCAAATTATCATCTCCATTTGAGTGAGAGAGGTGGTAGTATTAGACACTATAATTTTCCTGACAAATCATATGCAGACTTTCTAAAAGTAAGTGTATTTTAGATCATTTTCGGCAATCTACTTCATCAAATAAGTGTACTCATTAAGAGTGGCATAAATTTTCTCCTATATATGGTCATAAATAATGACTTAATTTTTTTGAAAGCCTTACAACTTATTCTCACTTTTAAAAGAAGTGTGGTGGGCTTTCTAATTTGCATATCACAACCTACAGATCAGCACAGTTTCCTAGCTTCACAGTATTACATCAGCTTCTCCAGTGTAATTTGGTTACTAACCCCCATGAAAGAGATGTAATGTACTGATAGAAGCCTGTCATATAAAACACCTGATTCAGATTCAGATGATAAGGATAGTAGACTCTTGTGGCCTGTGTTAATCCTTGTAAAATATATCTTTGCAGAGGTCTAACTTCTCTTTGGAAGCGTTCACCGATGGAGGTGATACTACTGATTCAGGTAAGGAATTCTAGTCGCTGACCTCTCCGTGAAAGAATCTAAATTCTGCACGTATTTTAATCGTCCTTGGTTTGAGCAACTTTTTGCGGTGACCCCGTAAATGTATCCTAGAGGGGGAAAAAAGGTCAGAAAGTTCAGTTATTAAATCAAGTAGCTTCTCTTCCTTTGGTATGATAACGGGAAGAGATTTAAATGCTTCATCCTTTTGTCATAAGAAAGGTCGCCTAAAGCTGGAGTCTGCTGGTACCAACTCATGTATTAGCTTATCTAACGTGAAGTTACTAGCAGCAAACACAAATTTGGACTTACTTATTCACGAAATCGCTCTGTGGTTATTTTTGTTCACCGATTGATAATTTTCAATAGAGGGAATTTTATTGTTACATCTGTCCAGAAAGGTTCGAATAAAGGACTTTGATAACATGCCTGCTAACTGACAAAAAGTCAGCGCTGAATGAATGTCAGCATATATGCTCACTGAAACCAATCACTGAATACTTTAAGCACCCTAAGACAATCTATAGGTGTATTTATCTAGTGTTAATTTACTTAAGTGGCGATCTGTTTAACTCAAACTAAACTATATTTTGGCATGCCATACAAAAACACATTTAACTGAATAAAAATAGTATTTCTAACTTCCTAATTCTTTTAAAAGCAGAAAACTGTTGTGAATGGAACGCCAAGATGAAAGCGCTTGATCCAGGCAAACTGCGTTGGAATACAAGAAGTAGTTTGACTTTAAATTCAGCTAAACAGCCAAAGAAAGGATTTGATTTACGTTCCATGACTAGTGTGAATCTAACGCATAATGCTTTCAGTTTGTCATATGTAAAAACACCTTATGCGTTTAAAAAGAACTGAAATGAATTATAAGAGTATAACTCTTCACAACATTCCATACTTCCTGTTACCATACGTGCAAGTAGAGAAAACAAGTATAACAAAACTGCAGTAAATGAAGATCTAAGGGTGGAAGGGCAATCACTTAGGAGGCACAGTAAATACGTCACCATTAAGAACAATTTTGACAAGTATCTGTGACACTCTTCAGTTAATAATTCCTAGCATCTAAACGAATTCAACGAAGTGACCTACACCTCTATATGTGGCTAAGACCAAGGTTGGTGATTTAATGGTTAAATGCTGCGTTTTCGGTTAACCGTCTCTAACACCTTTCCTTATCTGATACTGTAACATTGTCTTCGTTGTCATTATGTCTCTCCACCTAAAAACTGAAAATGAACAAAGAAATCCACAATGAAAAACGGCCAACTTTTTCGTTTTATCTACCCTGGATTGGCTCCCAGTGGCTGAATAGTGTACGAGCTCAATTTGTAACGAGTAGACCCTAAGTTCAAACCCCAGTTGGCCCGGACGGATGAAGAGTCCCCAACCAGGAGGAAACAGCTTCCAGAACTTCCAGGTTTCCCAGTGGTTCTCTAAATGATCGAACGTGTAACTAGTCGAATCGCTGCAAACCAGCACTTAATAATTATCTACATTCATCGATCATGTCTCCCGTATTTAAAATGAACTGACGTGCATTGTGACACAGCAGACACGATCTTCTCAGTATATCTGACAAAGTTATATAGCTGAACGAAGCTAAGTCACATCTTTTCTCAAGCTAAAACAAATCGATTTCACCGGCGTTTTGTAAAACAGACTATCCGATTATATGATTATCTGCTTTTCTATTTACATACTGTGCTTTCGCTAATGTAAATAAACCTTGTCAATGAATGTTTACAAAGATGAAACCTGGTGCAAATGGGATTGCATATCGATATAACACTGACACGATTCTTTGCTAGTTTATTAGTACAAATCCCTCAATGTTTACATTCACACTTGACATTTTAATTTGCTTACTTTTTCTGCATTAGTCCTCTTTAGTCTGCCCAGCTGCCTACCACATACCACTTTATCAATTAATCCAGATGGTCCATTCAAGAACACGGAGAACATGTGAAGGAAATTTCAACTGGCGATCATACGACAATTCTTCAGTTTTCACATTTTTTGCAGTTGTCTCCGAGGTGAAAAGCCCTAAAACCCTAATAATGGCACGAAAAAGAACACTGGGTGATGAAACAATTGAGAGTGATAGACAAGAAGAAAGTACAAGTAGTAATACGCTTCTAAAAGATTCATCTGAAACAGTACATGATGTAGTACAACTCTGTGAGGTACTTCTTCTCGATGATACATGTAGCTGTCTTCCATTAGTACTGTGGAATGAGGAATGGATTCACGTAGCATTGACAGCTTTTGTACCCAGTGTAAGTTTACACTTAGTTTAAGTGTTTCTTAGAAATAGATTTTGTCTAATAGTTATCAGTCTTGAAACTGAAACTTGGAGAGTGACTGACATCATTCTGCAGAGTTAAGAAATATACTGCGAATACATTTTCAGTATATGATTTATGCGAACAAAGAATCCTATTATAACCAACAGACTAACTAATAAACAGGTTGATGACTTATATAAATATCTAAGATTGTTTGTCAAAAAATGGATTCCAAAAGTAAACAAAATACAGTTATTATAATTCAGTAGGAATTTTTTTATTCCTTCACGTTCCCAGTGGAACATAGGGCTTCAAGCTATTGACTTGAAGTTTCTGTAGCAATGGCGTTTATTTTTACGGGATTGGGTTGCTAGCCCCATGCCCAAAATCTACCTTTACCAGTCTTATTACTGGCTTAGCGAGGTAAAGGGGTGCGTTGGTGGGCGGGGATTGAACCCCGGACTGTCTGCGTGGTCGGTGAGCATTCTAACGCGGTGCCAATGACGCACCATTCATTAGGAATATTTAGGTGTAAATTTTGAAGATTTAAAACTTGTCAGTAACACAACTGACATCCGGTGCACTAAACGAAGGTCTTTATAATATAATTACCTCATTTACTTTAGAGTTTCCTTTGTGGTATACTGACAATTTGTATGAAACAAGCTCATCTCTGTTCATGCTGTAAGCAAACAGCTGAATAATGCTGTCGCTTAGCGCAATACAATGTTTGATTTAAGCGCATGTGTCAGATGTACATTAAAAAGTCCCCTTGCATCTCATCAAGCAAAACCAGAAGCCTATATAGAAAACTATATGCTCGCACTAGCAAGTACAAAAACTCAACCATACCCTACTTAGCTCGTGTTCTGTGCGATAAAGAAAGCATTAGGCGTGATACCTATAACTTATTAAATAGTCAGTAGAACAACTGGACCTCGTCTTTCCAACTCATGTCATTTATAGGTACAACATTTTCTTTCTTTCTTTTCCTTTTCTCTCTCTCTTTTTCTGTTATGTGCTGCTTTGTTTCTTTCTTCCGCTTACGCCAGTAAATATGATAGCACCTACTTTTCTAACACCTTCAAACACTGTTTCAACTTTGGCTTTGCTACCAACATGCCAATATGTTGTTGTCATAATGAACTGAGATTTCCTTAATCTATTTATTAATAATGTACTAACTGGATGCAATACTGTAGTAAAAATGCTGAGAATTCCATTCTGTATCACAAGTACTGTTTTGGAATAAAGCAAATTATTTTTATTATTATTATTATAGGTCATTAGCAGTAATAGAGTAATTTACCATGTTAATAAGGAAAATGATAGCTAAGGTAGGAAATATACTTTCGGCTGTACGGCTGATATACAACAACAATAACAATAACCTTCTGTAGTTTGTTTTGTAAAGGTTAGTTTTGTTCTTACGAGTTGATCACGGATTGATATCAGTTAGATAACCATTAAAAACCAGGGAGTACTGGAGAGTTTTTTCATCCTAGTTTTGAGAATCATCGGCAGAACACGCTCACTGAGGTTCGAATAGAATATTAATCTGATGCTCGCTAGAGACTTGCTACATGACAGAATTTCCTGGATTTCTAGTAAGAAGTCGTGACCAGTGAGGTCCATTCAGATGTCACGTGTGAGGATGGATGTCCCACCGACGACATTGGTTGGGGTAGCGCTAAATCACGAATTGGTAGAAGTTAGAATTCATGAGCCACTGAATCTAATCCCAGTGGCTGAATGGTATACGAGCTTGCCTTGTAACCGGAAGGTCATGTGTTCGAACCCCAGTGGGTGCGTACTGCCGATGATTCCCAAAACTAAGATGAAACAGCTCTCCAGTACTCCCTGGTTTTTAGTGGTTCTCTAACTGATATCAATCCGTGATCAACTCGTAAAAATATCAATAACAACAAAAACATCATGAAAGCATTTATATATATATATGTTAAAATGAGATAGTTTGCGTCTTTACATAATGCTTCCTCAAATTTTGATGATATTATGACGCTAAACATCACATCTATGTGTCTATACTTTTATTTCAGACAACAGTTTTATCGATTGTCAACTGTCCAGTTCGATATGATCACTATCGTAAAGGTGTAGTAGCCTCTCCAAACTCACAAACTTTAATAGTCATTTCACCTGATTGTGAAGAATCGAATCGTTTGAGTCAATATGCTAAACATCGTGATCAAAGAGTCAATTTGACAAGAGGTCATCAAAATCAGTGCTTTACAAATGAAAGCATTGATGATAGATTTGCACAACCTTTACCAGTGGCGTACAAGACAGCTCAACCGGAGGTTAGAAACTTGATTATCTAACTGTTTATTGTAAACTTTTATTACAAAGTAGGCCTATATATATTTATATATTGATAGAAAAGTCAAGAAGTTAAAAATGCGAAGCTGTACTGTGCAGTGAATAATTTTGATTGGATAAAAACAATGCTAGTCAGCCGAATTTGTATTATCCTTTAAAACTCTAGTAACCAATTATTAACTGCAAGCTTAGATGGTAGCCTAATGTACATCTGAATATATATTATATCAACTGTATATCTGTAAAATGAATTTTTTGGAAAGATTATCAGTGCAGGGCTTCAGCACGGCTTTTTGTTGAAGTTAATTGTTGCCACCAACCAGTTAGTATGTGTACTTCAATAGCATGTTATCCAGCTTACGAATCTATTTGTCAGTCAATTCGTGTTTGTGACATTTCTCAAGAAACAGTAGTCTTTGATTGGACACTAATTAGTGTCATGCATCTAGTTCTTTGTTTGCTGGAAAATGAATTCTACCAGTCAAGATTGCAGACATACCCTGCTGAAGAGTGTCAAAATGCGCGGTCCAAGGCTTCCCGCCGATTGTTTCCAACCACCAAATAAAAAGTGTAGTCTGATGATGAGGATATTCTAGATAGTCAAGGATTGATAGATTTTGGAGAGTTACTTGATAGGGATTTGACTTGTTCTAGGTTCGATCGAGGATTAGTATCAGTTGGAGAACCAATGAAAACCAGGAAGTACTGGACAGCTGTTTCATCTAAGTTTGGTAACTTTCAGCAGTACGCATCTTAATGGCGTCCAAACCTATGACAGACTACTATGAACGTTAGGGGTAATAATTGATAGTGAAATATAAATATGGGTTACAGTTGGATTCGAGCCTGTGGCCACTGAGGTCTACCAGATGAGCTACAAGACTCAAGCGCTAACCATATCATCATTTTAGTACAGTCATCACCCGTAATGTCAGGTTGTTAAGTGAATGAATAATGCGCTAACTACCGTGACTGTAGTGAACTGATTACCTTCTTAGCAGTAAGGTGTTTTAACTCAGCTGGTTGTGCGCTGGACCAGGAATTCAGAGGCTTTTAGTTCATATCCTGCTTTGTCACAGATTTCTACTTCACCTTCAATCACTGCCAGTTACATCATAAACAGTAATTCGTGTGCGACAGGACTAGACTACTCAAGTTTCGATTCTATACGACATAGCTGATACGTGCTCATGAAGAATGTTGAAATAGAATAAAACATTTTCCCACTTGTCCTTGATTTTAAATTCTGTAGGTGATATCATTTAAAGACAAAATCTATTTTCTTGTCGCCTAAATCCCAACAACCAAAAATGGTCAAAGCTGCCAAAGGTATTTAGTTTATTAGAGACAATAAATGTTAAACAAATGAACAGATAATCCAGCTGAGAATTAGTATTGCAAATGGATTATTTGAGACATCACTTCATATTAAATTAAATAATAATTTTGGAATGATCTAGTCACGTTGGGCACGCAAGTTATCCTGAGAAATTGACATGTGTGTTCTGGATATTTATAAACATATTTTAGATAATTCATCACCATTACTAAGTGCATCCACTAAAATTTGAGTGGAAAATATCCGTGGTACAGTTAAAATGATATAAAATTAGAAATCACTGTTGAAAAAGTAATAATTTAACTAAAAATCAGCCTTTTAATTGAATGGTGCTACTTACTACTGATCTGTTGATATGAGTAGTATGATACCATTCACATCAACCAGTAGTGCTTTCTGGTTAGCCAGATCAAACTGATCTAAAGACCAGGCGGCCGTTTCACTCTTTTCGGAATGAGCTCATCAACGATTCACTCAGTTTAACTTAGCTCAGAGAATCGCATCAATTGAAACCTACGGAATTCTGTCTAGCTACTTGGGCAAACTGGATCTAGTTCACAGTTTAAAGAGTTGAAAGTTCACCATACTTTCCTTTGAAAACCACAAAAATTCAGATCACAATCAAGAAATCAAGCCTTATGTACTGATAGTTAAAAAAACTAATGAAGTTTTTCTTTTGAAACATAAATGATTCTGATTAAGGGGTCATTGTTTTTCTCTTATATTCTAGATATATGAAGTACCACTTACAAATATTCACAATATAATAACCATAAGAGAACTTAAAGAAGGAAAAGGTAATTAATTTTTGTTACATACTTACATATAAGTTGTCATATGAATAAAAAATGCTCTAATGGGTTGGACGACTGAGGGTATTATGGAGGATACCGTGTAAAGAGGAGGAGATGAAAGTTTATGCACAGTGGTGTAGCTGCAGAGATTACAGTAAAATAATAATGTGCTGCTGACTCCCTATGTTCTACTCAGAACTCAAGGGAATAATAGTTATAACCACATTAGAATTACCATTTAGTTCATGTGTAACATTATTATTATTTCCTTTAATTCCTAGAGGAACATAGGGCTTCAGCCGCGCGTCTCCATTGCGTTCGGTTGTGTGCTAAAGTTTTCACTTAACTCCAGGTTTGCCCACACGCCTTCATCTCCTCTTCACATGACCTCCTCCATGTCACCCTTGGACGACCAACTCGCCGCTTCCCTTTCGGGTGCCACTCAAGGGCTTGTCTAGTGATGTCACTTGATGGTTTCCTCAGAGTATGGCCAATCCATCTCCATTTCCTTCTGCCTATTTGTTTCACAATCGGTTCCTGGTTGGTTCGCTCCCAGAGATCCCTGTTGCTGACCCTTTCTGGCCATCTGATCTTCAGCTGTATTGAGCGAAGGCAGCTGTTGATGAAGGTCTGTAGTTTGTTTGAGATGCTCTTTATGACGCGCCAAGTATCTGATTCGTATAATAGCACTGACTTCACATTGTAGTTGAAAATCCGAACCTTATTTTTCATGCTGAGTGCTGCTGATCTCCACATAGGCTTGAGAGAAATGAACGCTTGCCTTGCTTTCCCGATCCTCGCTGCTCTTATATCCTCGTCAGTTCCGTCCACCTGTAGTTGAAAGGATACTTCCCAGGTCGGTAGCTAAAGGAGGTTGCTTCTTTCAGGTTCCTCCCATTCATGCTGATGGTTGTCTGTTGTTGTTGGTGTTGCCTAGAAATCTCCATCACTTCTGTTTTCTTTATGTCTACTTGGAGTCCCATCTTTGATGCTTCTTCTGCCAACTTGTTGCTTTTCACTTCCATATCTTCCAGTTTGTGGGAAATCAGACATATATCATCGGCGAAGTATAGATCTTCCAAGTGTTTTGTGTGAGTCCATTTTATGCCTGTTTCCTCGCTGCCGCTGTCTGTCGCATCATCCAGTTTACCGCAATCATGGAAATCATTGGAGATAGTAGGCAGCCAGCCAGCTTGTGTTACTTCCGTCTTCACTTCGAAGGATTCCATGAGTTTCCCGTTGTTGATTACTTGGCATGCGGCGTTGTCGTACAACTGTTGGATGAAATGTATAATTGTCGGTGGTAACCCGTAGTAACGAAGTAGTTTCCAAATCATCTGTCGATCGACACTGTCGAAGGCCATTTCAAAGTCAGTAAAGTTGTGGCAGAGATCTAACTGCCATTCCAAGCTCTGTTCGTTGATGGTCCATAATGTGGCGATTTGATCAATACATGATGTGTTTCTCCTGAATCCAGCCTGTTCGGGTAGAAGTTTTTCATCTAGGGCGTGTTTGATTCTCTCCAGGATGATGTGGCTTAGTATTTTGCTTGGGATGGACAGGAGCATAATTCCGCGCCAGTTCTTGTATTGACTTATGTCTCCTTTCTTTAGCAGTTTGAATAAGTATCCTTTTTTCCAATCCTCGGGTACCTTGCCCTCTTTCCACACCTTCTCCGGTAGTGGTGTCATCAAGTCCGCTGTTGTTTCTGGATCCATTTTCAATGCATGTGTGACATTAGATACTTCAATAGTCTGAAAGCTTAAATGAACAGATTATAGTTATTATTTATATAGACTTTTAAATATAAACACATAAATTAAGAACTTCAGTGTATATTATGGAAAATGAATTATCAAACAAGAGTTAGGCCTGTAAGTAAATAAATAATGTTATTTATTTAACTTAATTTTTGTATTTTCCCTTATTTGATCATATCAGAGCAAAATGTTCAGCCCCTATTGACATACTGGCTCCTAGCACAGACACCTGAACGATGTCCAAGGATTATCATGATGTTGACTTAGTCAACGCTAACTAGCAGTGGAATCCATGACACACATTTTGTTCTATTTGAGACTCATCCTCTAGAAGTACCTGAAATCTTTAGTGAGTGTATTCTGGATCCCAACGCCGGTCACCATCCACCAGACAACTTCAATATCTGGTACTGACTGTAAGAAATGCGGCCTCATTTTTTCTCTCACTAGAATGCACAGATATTCTGTGTGTAAATTCCTAAAATCATGCATCAGCACATTCTTAGGATAATTAAAGATAAAATTGTGATCCATAGCCGAATAGGCAGTTACTTTTTGTGTATCGTTAAAAGTAAGGATATTTGAATAGCTGAAAGCCTCAGATTTCTCATCTTCTGAGTGAAGATATATCTGCTACTACCTACGCAGGAGCTACGTGTGGTTTTGGGGTGTGTTCGAATAAATGATGTGAATTAGAGTTTTAAGATGTCTAAATTCTTGAAGTAGATTTACAGTTGAGAAATGCTCATATATATTGTTACTTTTTATTGATCTTTTAGTACTCTAGTAATACTATTCAATCTAAGCCTCATAGTTTATTTACAGAACAATATGTATGTACTTTGATTGGACACTAGTAACGGGTGTGATGTGTCTAGTTCTGTCTTTGATGCAGACTGAATTCTATCAGAGTCAAGTTTGCTATGTGACCACCATTCTAGGTAGCTCGCCATCATGGTGCACACTGATTTGATGATATTAGATGGTTGAAAGCAATCGGCAGGAAGCCTTCCACCCAAGTTTCGTGCTACTTGGCACTCACCAGTCAGCAAGGCGTATCTGCAACCTTGAAGGACCTCATGTCCCTTCTGAAACCTAGGTCGAAGGCTTCCTGCCGATCACCTCCGACCATCTAATATCATCAAATCACTATGTACCACGATGGATGGCGAGCTACTTAGAATGGTGGCCACATTGCAAACTTGTCTGGTAGAATTCGGTCTGCACCAAAGACAAGACTAGACACATCACACTAGTCACTAGTGTCCAATCAAAGTATCCACTGCAGTCCTACAGGAGGTCAATCGCGAGCTCGAATAGCTCAGTGGTAACGTCTCTGACTGCAGGCAGCACTGGCTAGTAACGTGGGTTCGAATCTCAGAAGGGACATGAATTCCTTCAAGGTTGCAGATACGCCTTGCTGACTGGTAAGTGCCAACTAGCACGAAACCTAGTTGGAAGGCTCCCCGTGGCCGATTGCCTCCAACCATCTAATATCATCAAAACAATATGTAGGAATAACTGGTGATAATCTCTAAGTCAGTCATTCGAATTACATCATACATCAAGTTTTCTTTTCAATTTCAAACAATAATACATCTGACATGAATAAAATAGGTTTACAGCATTTTGATTCGAAAAAAACGCCAGAGATACTCTGCATCATCACTGAGGAAACTTGCGTGGAAGACTACTGAACCTGTTTGAAAGTGAGTTGAAAGAAAGCCTACCTAGTTGTCTTAGGAAGGAAGACAAATGACAAGATATAGAATGGTAACGAACCAACCAAGAAATTGTTTTGCCCAACAAATATACAGAAGAAAATGAAGGTGCATTGGACATACTCTAAGGAGACCGTTGGCTGACACTGAGCCACAGGCAAGCTTTCGAGTAGAACTCGAATAGGAAACGACAAGTTGAACGCCTGAGGGTAATATGGAGGAAATAGTATAAAGAGGAGGAAATTAAAGTTTATGAGTGATCATGAAGTCAGCTAATACAGACTAATACAGAGAAGAGAGTAAAGTGGCGATGTATTGAAGATGAATCCCTACATTCTACTCGAAAATCAAGGGAATAATAGTATTACTTATAATATAATAAGGCATTTTAATGATTATGATTCGAACATTACCCTAAACTGGAACCAATTCATGAAATTTAGGAAAACTTCATCCTCTAACAATGAGTTATTCTTTTTTTTGTGTGTGTTTACAATCTGTTTCAGTTGTTGCTGGATATGCGTGTATATTTGCCTTAATCACAAAAATTGATTTAGACTGTTCAAATCTACGATATCTGGTAACATTACAATGCTCAAATTGTCAAACTAGTTTAAGATCATGTGATCCACCAGCAGATTTTGATATGACAGCACCTGGTAAACAAATTATTCCAAGTGAAAAATATTTATTTGCTATGTGTAATACAGTTAGTTGTCCATTAAGTGGACAAAGATTATCTTGGCTTGATAAGAAACATGTGAATGTAAGTATGAAGTTATGCTTTACATCATATTATAGCTTATATTTGCCACAATAGTGTTTTATTCTTTTTTATTTTTATACGAACTTGTCTATGAACAGTTTTTTGATTAAATTAAAAATAAGTGGTCTGATGAACAACACTTTGGTGTTAGAAACGATGGGTAGTGGGTTTCAGTCTCAGAGGGGACATCACCACGCCCTGGGGAAATATAGGTGGTATATCCAGCCGACAAGTCCCAAATAGGACGAAGTGAGAATTCACTGGATTCCAGCGCTAGTCACCATCCACCAAATTACGTCAAGTTAATTTCATACACCTTCAAAGCAACCATATTAGAAGCCGACCTGTTGCCAACAGAGGCTGAACATTTCAGTCCAGTAGAATAAATGAATACGAAAAATCAAAAATGAATCAAAGGCGAATAGCGAAACATAACACTCAAGAGGTGAATAAAAGGTTTATTATTTTTTTCAGATCACTCTAAATATCTACAGATCAAAGCTTGAGTTTTCCTTTGTAATGATATCTGTGAGAACAACACTGTCATTTGCATTCTACTAGTTATCTTTGATTCCAGTAATTTAAAAAATGATTGCACAATAGTGAATGAATTAGTGTTATTAACAACATTAATGTTGTTTAAATAACATAGAATCAATAATAATAATAATAGCATCAATGGATTACAGTTCTGTAGCATCAACATAACAATGCACCGAATATCAGACAGGCAAATTAGGAAAACCAATAACACAAATTCATGAATTTATAGTCTCCATTGAAGGCCTGCTAGAGCAGCAGTAGTAGTGGCTAGCTGGACATGCTTCTTCTGCACACAGAGCACTGGTTGTTTAAAGCGAGTCGTGATAGCCTCAGCTGCTTGGAGTATGCGTTACATGGATGTTTTTGGCAATTTGTTTGATACCCGATAATGAATGGAGAAGGATTCTTCAATGCTGGCTTTGTGGCCAGTTTAGACCAGGTGGTCTAATATCGACCCGTTGATGCTTCTCACTACATCTTTATTTAACCACACTTGTAGATGTTCCCGAGTAAGTACGAAAAATCAAGTTCCTACAGCAACGCCCTATATAACTCGCTCCATCACAAGTGAAGTTGAATCGGTAGATACAAGCAGAGGTAGCCAGTCTAGGTACGTTATCTTCCAGTCAAGGAATCACCATCGGTCGTGTAGAGAATAAAACCTGTAGTTTGCCAGCATTAAAAGCTCTTCGAACTTATTTTTTTAGCTTTTTCGTAATTATTTCACAAGGTATATCACCCTTGGATTGCAGTCATATGTACAAAAGCTTCTTGTTTACGGATAGTGAATAGTCCTTTTCAACTTTCTTAGTCATATGTTTCCTGATGAATTTGTCTAGATAGCTATTTTCAATCAAATTTAAAAATTCCCATTTATACATTTAGAAAGAAAAACAATAAAATGAGCGATGAAATATATTCCTTTTTAATTAATTCCTCATCAACAGCTCAACACTATAATATAAACAGTTTTACATTAAAATTATACCAATCACGTGGTGTTGTGTGTTAGTCAACAAAAATGATCACTATTAAGGTATAGGAGGAATGTTAGTTAACTAGAAGTACATAAATTCAGATTATAAGATTTGTGAGGATCTTGGATCGATTTCAATTGTTAGATTTTTGTTACGAATCAATATCAGTTAGAGAGAAGGGCTAAAATTAATTAAGACATCGTTTAGTTTCTGAGTGAACATTGGACGTCTACCAAAGGATAGGAACAGATATTCAAAGTGGAACGTCTTCTTTATCGCTGTGGTTGGACGTTGGCATAAAATCTCTGCAGGAGCATCTCCCTTGAAATGTAGACGCGAAAAAAATGGCTTCTTCTCTACTATGGTTAGTTTATGTTTGCATAAATGACTATCATTTAAATGATAACAATATATTTTATAACTGTAAGAACGAGAAGATAATTTTATGAAAAGAATGTTCTTTGTTCAGACCGACTCTTAAGCTGGAAGTATGCCAACAGAAGACAGCATACGACAAACTGACTTAATCTGTTGCCACTCATTTAAACAAATACTGCTGATTAGCTACACGAAGCCTGAATTAGCAAGTGTGCGGCAAAATGAATTTGAGCTAGTGATTTTAAAATATAAAGGAGCTATACTACATATATATTAATGTAGTGTTAAATTAAAATCTGAAAACTTATACAATATTTTAATTCGCTTAATTATTACAGACGAGTTAAGACACTGATTTCATCTTTCAGTTGAATCAAAATCATTTAGAGAGGTCATTGAAAATCATGGAGCACTCGACAGCCATTTCATCCTGTTTGGAAACTCCTCAACATCACGACCCAACCAGGAATCGAACCCGGAACCTTCGCATTACGAGATCCAGCTCGACTATTGACGACTATTCAATCCCTTAAGATGGAAGCCTGAATTCTAACTTTATCAAGTCATCATACAGTACTGCCATCCCTAATGCCTTCTATGGGCATCCACTTATCACCTGTCCAGGGCTTCTTGGTTTTCAATGACCTCTCAAACTGATGTTGGTTTGTGACGAAAATAATAACAATGGAAATATTGATATTGAGGTGTATGGAATCCAAAACAAGCTAATTATTTGTAAAGGTTAGCTAAAAGTTAATAAATAATCGATAATTGATAATAATAATAATAATAAATAAAAATGCGATAAAAAACCTGACTAAAATCTTTGCTAGTGTTGACTTGATGTTCTGTATCGATGAGATAACATAGCAGAGAGCTATGTATCGCTTTATTTGGTCCTTAGCGTAACCAAGTTGGATGGTGTTCAGAAATCCTACGATGAACTTATCCAACCGTAATTCTAATTGGTAGATTCATGCAAAAATGATCTCGAATTATACTTCTAACAAAGCAATATTATATTTCTTATTATTATTTCATTAACAATAATAAATAATGTCTATCAATACTTCTTTCATTAAATGAGTTTCTGGTGCATACAAGGTACTTCAAAACAACTAGTTTGGTTAGTTAACGTCAAATAATAGTGATAAAAGTAAAGCATTCACTCTAGGGTATACTATACTACCGCGTTGATAGTCATAGAATTGCAAATAACATGATTTGACAAGAAAATACGTTGAACTGCAATCGTAGAACAACAATAATGAAATTCCATTATGGATAAAATTTTATTTTGGTAAAATCACACAGTACTGTTGTACAGTAATATTTACTGATGGCCATGTTTCGAGCACAAATTATTGCCGCTCATAATCATATCAAGGTACTCAAAGCTACAAACTCACTCAGATAGGATAAGCTCTGTAGGCTAAAGGACCCGGTGGGCCCAGTTACACAAAATAATATAATTTACAAAAAAACCTTGCAATGACTGTGAGTGAGGTAAACTACATAGGTCAAAGTAGTAGATCAGAAGTAGTCTGATTATCAGAACATAAGAATTTAGCTGAGGTTAGAATGATTAACCCCACCCGCGAAGATGAGTAATTTAGAAAAAATCTCAGCAGTAGCACTGCATTCATTAGCACACAACCACACAAAAGGGTGGGTGGGACAAAGTCAAAATTCTAAACAGTAATATAGGTAGATGGAGAAAGAGAGAGACTGAATCCTAGTTCATCGAGTCTAATCCCAACACATGCAATAGAAGTGATTCATCATCGCTAATACCAGAGATATGGAAGATATTATTACCTCCAGTCAAATCAGAGGAGGATAATAAATAATCTTAAAATTCTATTTCAATTCACATCGATTATAACATTCTAACAAGTTACTTATTATTTTACTATAAAAACATCTTATTTCCCATCTGATTGTATTTTATTGATAACACTAATATTGTTATTTCCGAATGTACTTTATCTTATATTTATTTTATTCAAATGTCTAATCATCAATCTTTACTCATGTATATAAATGAAGCAAGAAAGTTGTGTGAGTGAGTACCTTGATATGATTATGAGCGGCAATAATTTGTGCTTGAAACGTGGTCATCAGTTAATATTACTGTACAGCAACACTGTGTGATTTATCAAAATAAAATCTTATCCATAATGGCATAGTTATACTCTACCACAGTGTCCAAGTTTTATCCTAATATGAACAATAGTGAAAGATTAATATAAATGCATAGAAGATAAAAAAAGGAATTTAACGCAGAGATATATCAGTATCAAGTGTTACCAAATCTTGTAATTTCATAAATACATAATATATGCCAAGAAATTTTATCTAATGTCTAAGAATATATGACCGATTTTTGGAATTAAATTGTCTTTATTTTGAAAATCCTATCAAACCTGAACTTTCACTGCAATTATATCATCATCATCATCACCAAAATCTCGATTGTAAAAATAGTCTATTTGGTAATACTTTATGGAATCTATCCCCCTACTTCTGTCTCTCTCTCTCTCTCTTTATAGGTAGATTATGGTACAATTGTTCATTTATCAGATCATACGGGGACATATTATAGATGTCTTTTAGCTGGTACAGCTATGGAAAAGCTTATAGGATATAAAATTGAAGATTTTTTACACTTATCAACAGAGGAACGAGCACGTTTGAAATGGGGAATCTGCCTAAGACGATTTAAAGTATGTTAACTGAATTATATCTCATTTTAGATTTCTATAAATCGCAAAGTCAATTTACAATAAAATTGTTGTTTTTGATGAAATATATTCTATAGTAGGTAATACTAATATAATAACAATAATTAAATGGGAATTTATGTAGCATATCATTACAAACTCAAAGATCTACAGACAAAAACCAGTGGCTTAATGGTCTACGAGCTCGCCTTGTGACTAGAAGGTCCTGGATTCGAACCTCTTGTGGTGGATGCGTACTGATAAAGAGTCCGAAACTAGGACGAAGGAGACAGCTGTCCAGTACTCCTAGGTGGTTTTCCAATGATTGTCTAACTGATGTCAGCTCATGGTGAAACCCTCCAATCAATGAAAAACCAATAAGTTGGTTTGTTAGAATAAGCAGTGTAGACAGGAATTCAAGTGAATATAGACAGGAGAAAGATGATAAAGATATCTGATGATTGACAACAATAAGAATCGGTTACTATCATCGGGAAAAATTTGAAGGAGGTCACTTCTTTTACTTACCCACACAGCATCGTTTTAACTACAGAATGTAAAAGCCAGGCTCAGAAATAAAAGAGAAAACTTCAACAATCTGAAATCAGTTTGGAAATTTTCTACATTCAGCATACAGAACAAGATTTTGATTTTCAACACTAATGTCACGTCCGTCGTTGCTTCTATACTAGCGTCCCCTCCACGAAAAGAATTTCAAACTGACTTCAAGCATTTATTAACAGCTGCCTTTGTTGGTTCCATACTGTAAATTAGATGGCTTAGACAGATATGGTTAGTAACAAAGAACTCTGTACTCCAGAGAAGTGACTAAGAGCCTATCACCCAATAAGTATGCCGGAGAAAATAGAGGTGGATAGGATGCACGCTGAGGAGACAGTATGGTGACATCGCGCCCCTCAGGCTGGCCCTCTGGTGAGACCCGAGTGGGAAACCGCGAGTTGGGCAAGGGTCCAAGGGTGACACGGAGGATATCGTATGAGGAGGAGATAACAGCTTATGGACAATCATGAAGCCAGCCAAAGGAAACTTTATAGAACAGGGCGAAATGACTATACCCTATTGAATCCCTGTTCCACTCAGAACCTAATGAAATAACAATAGTCGAAGACAGTTATCCATATAAAAAGTGGAACTACAAAAGAAAAGCATAACTGGAATGAAAGCGAATAATTCCTACTGTATAGCTTATTAATTAAACTACTAAATGCTTTTAATGTAAACCAACCTGACTATGCATAACCGATACTGCATAATACTTTCTTATATTATTATTATTTTTTGGTTGGTTTATTCACCTAATTTGTTGTTAAAGTGAGAAATGCAGTCAATATCTGTAAAGGATGACTTTTATGGTTGTTACAGGTAGCAAAAGATTGTTCAAGAGTCATACTAGAAATCAGTTGTTGATGTTGTTGTTGTTGGCGTTGATTTTACGACTTAAGATTTTCTTCTTAAATTGATGATTCTTTAGCATAAACCAATGAAGAAGATACAACTCCTAACTACTCTATCACTACGACTGTTCGGAAAATGTTAAAACAACTAACACCAACAAAATACTGTTAAGCAATATAAAATGGAAGGTTGTACACAATCAGGATTTATGCATTACACTGTTTTCTGAGAGATTATATAGATTATCTACGTTATTAGCTTTACCAATAATAATAGTGAGTTCGAGAACTATTGAAGACCATGGAGTCCTGGACAGCCGTTTCATCTTAGTTTGGGTCCATCCAGTCAAGTGTAAGGATGGATGTTTCACTGATGATATTGGTTGGGGTCTCACTAAGTCACATATCGGTAGAAGTTAAAATTCATGGACTGGCCACTGAATCTAATCCCAGTGGCTGAATGGTATACGAGCTTGCCTTGTAACCGGAAGGTCCTGGGTTCGAACCCCTGTGGTGGGTTCATACTGCTAATGATTCCTAAACTAGGCTTATGAGACAGCTGTCCACTATTCCAGTGCTGATTTTCAATGGTTCTCTAACTGATATCAGTCCGTGATCAACTCATAAAAAAACAAATCTAATCCTTACAAACCAACTATACAAAAATAATAATAAGCTTTTATTTCAGACAATATATGAACACATAGTACAAAAATTTTCAACGCTCCAAAATACCTCATCTTAATACAGGATTTACAGGTAAAGTAATAATCTGAAGTATGTCATGTGACATAGTGTTGTTGCATATGAAGAGACAGAACCAGTTCTGTAAATTTTTTCTCCATTATCTTCAAGAATTGCTCAGCATCTCGTTGAAAGCTTATTTAATATGTGCTTAAGTTCATGTGATGATCATCTCATATAATTGTATGATTAAAGCAATAAAAATGCTGGAGAGTTTAAACATTTTAGTCAATGGAAACTCTGGTAACCCAAGGATTTAAGCAGGCCGCCCAGATCTAGACTATATCAAATTTTTAATGTTACGTCAGTGGCACAGTGGTTAGGACTCTCGCCGACCATGCACATGGTCCGGGGTTCGATCCCCTGCCGACGCACACCTGATATCTATGGTCGGCCTGCAAAATTTGGGCTACCAATATCCATGCTGAAAATTCCATACTTGTACTGAAAATACGGTGTGGCATCAAGCTGTAATAAAAAATTACAAAAATTCAAAAAAAACGTCTAAAGACACTCTGTGAGTCCACATAGATATAGTCAATAATAAATACCTTACAAATAATTAATTTAAATTGCTACCAGTTAGTTATATTTATTTTAATTTTTTAGGTTTATTTCTGGACAGAACAGATTAGTTACAATAATCCATCACCTTTAATCGTCATTATAGGCCTTGAGAAACCTAATGCCTTTGAAGTTCTTCAGTCACTAAAACCAAATAAATGACACATGTTTTGTGTTATTTAACTGTTCCACTGTTCTCATGTCATTTCATAAAATCATAAATCAGTGAAATTTTTGTCATATACTATGTTTACAAAAACTTTCATATTACACTTGTTAAGTATACAATAATAAAATTTTGTTTTTTTAAATTACTACTTGCATTTTTTATAAGTAGAAAAGATAGTTGTAAATCCATCAGACGACTGATAAATTCATGGAATTTCAAAAAAGCCTAGACCTGGATATCTTTAGTATTTTATGCCTAATGTGTATTTGTTAGTTAAATGATATGTGTAGTATACCTGTGGTGACTACCAATCTTTCAGGAAAACTTTGTTTGCTGTTGTCATGAGCCATGTAGGGGCTGAATTAGACTAACTGTCTAACTGCCACTCATGATACGCTAAGAATGAATGACTAGAGAATGACTGTTAGTGTTATGATATATACAACACAGTAATCAGTAGCACAGACAACATTCATCCTTTGTGATCTCTTAGATTTATTAAATTGTTATTTTTCTCAGTGTAATAATTTTTCTTCCAGCTTTAAATAGTTTATTGTACCTCCTATATTCTTCTGCCTTAATGTGTGCTTTTATAAGGTTTGGCTATCTGAACCGATGCACGTTTGTATGCGAAGTTCTACGTTGATAATTCAGTCCAGTTCACTAGTTTATAAGACCATCTATTAAATGTTTAGGTAAAGCATATTGTCGTGATATATATATATATGTATAGTCAGGACAGGCGGATTCGACCAAGTCAGGCAGAGAGGACAGTTACTCGTTGATGATACTGGCTAGTAGTCGCGCTAAAACCACCAGTTGGGAAGAATCGGATTTCATTGGCTATTGGATTGGGTTCGAGTGTCTGAATTGTCTACGAGCTCGCCTTGTAACGGGAAGGCCGTGAGCTGAAACTCCAGAGGCTTTTTGTTTCTGAAGTGCCTGAAAAGAAGATAAAACACCTCTCCGGCTTCTTTCCCGATGGTTCTCTAACGGATATCAGCTCGTAGTTAGACCTGTAACCAATCAAATCCCTGCAAATCAACACTCGTAATATATAATTACATTCAACATCGATAACCAAGTATTGTGGCAAACTCTGTTAAACAGCATTTTATGAAAACTGAACAGTTTTTCTGATATAAGGATTTTATCATGAACTGAGTGATTTGGGTAAGAGGACTATTGGAAAACCTGAGAACCTTGGAACTCCTCATCAGTAGACGCCCACCACGAGGTCTCGAGCCCAGGACCTTCTGGTTACAAGGTGAGCTCGCCCGTAAACCATTAAGCCACTGGGACCCGATCCAATGACCACCCCATGAATTCCAACTTCTGCCAATTGATGATATAGCATGACCACTAGCGGATGTCACAGAAGAGTATTTGTCCTCACATTTGGCTTGCTGTACTCTACTGGTCACGACTTCCTACTAGAACTCAGGTAACTACCTATCTGAATAGGGCCAGTCACTAGTGAGCATCAGATTGACATTCAAGCGTTGGTTTGCAGGGATTTGATTGGTTTCAAGATTTCATAATGAATCAAACCAATGAAGTAAATATTGGTAACAGTTTATAATCATCGATTTAAGTTAATAAAAATTTGAATACGGATAAGTCGAATACAGAGTAAGACAGATGTGTTGCTTTATTTGAGATTTGAATAAAGCGAGAACAACAGTTTGTGTAAAACAAGATGTTACTATCATTTATTTTGTCGGCTTCTCATTAGCTGCTTACAGTCTAAAGGTATGATTAAGTCTAAGATACTTGCAATTTTCACATATCAGTTGACAGAGAGTTAAAGCTGAAACAGAAAATCAGTGTATGCATACAGTGGTGAGGGAGTTACTTAATAAAGACGAGATGTTGAAACCAAAGATTATGTAATCATAGAATGAAAGAAAGAATAAAGACATTCAGTTACCAGGGCAAGGAAAAACTTTTAACGCACAAATCGAATTTCAGGCTTTTCATAGCGATTGCTTAAGCTAACTTGAGGAGATCTGAAATATTTTGTATACTGATAGTTTTAAAGGATTTTGCATTGACCACTTTATGACCTGGATTGATAAGATTTTTGGCAATGTCATTATATTAAGCACTTGTTCCTCTGAGATGTAAGCTTTCTGCCACATGTTCAGAAAATCGGAGGGTTCGTTTTAGTTATATTAAACATTTTAATGGGCAGGATTTAAGCCTTAGTGTGGAGATTTATCCAGACGACCAATTCCAAATAGGACTACTTGCTTGTTCTGGATTCCGCTCACAATAACCATCGAACAAGACAGCTTACAGGAAAATTGAGCTGACCTATAAGTTAATACACGGGACTTTTATCAGAAAATCTAACAACAAGTCGCCTGAATTCACTTCTTGTCATATTTATCATCAAAAGTGAACTGATTAAAAGTCTTTTTAACGATTCTGAAGGATGACTGATTGTAAAATTGAAAGAAATTTGAAGGATATAAGCTCTGAATAACATATATCACAGATTTTAAAATTAAGTAACTATGAAAAATAAAAGATAGAAATTTCGGCGACTGCAAGGTTGAATAAACTACTTCAAAGAATTGTTTATCTGGTTATTTATCTTAATTAAATCTAAATGATTCCATTGTGGGTACAATTCTATTTTGATAAAGCCTCACAGTGTTCTACAGTAATATTTACTGATGACGTTTCGAGCACAATTTATTGCTCATAATCATATTAAGTTACTCACACAACTGTCGAACTTTGTTTATATAGTTGTCAGAATATAAGAATTTAGCTAAGGTTAGAATGACTGATCTCACGAAGATAAGTAACTTAGATAAAAGCTTCAGCAATCGCACTGCATGCATTAAAACACGACCACACAATAGGGTGGGTGAGACAGAGTCACAAATCTAAAACGTAATATAGGTAGATGGAGAAAGAGAGAGGTTGATTATTGAATCCTGGTTCATTAAGTCTACACCCAACACGTACAATAGGAATGAATCATCGCTCATACCGGAAATATAGAAAATACTACTAACAATCAAATCAAGGGATGAAAAATAGTGAAACCATATAAACGAATTTGGTAGTATTGTGAGTAACGTCACATGATTATGAGCAATAATTTTTGCTGGAAACGTGGTTATCAGTAAATATTACTGTATAACACTGTGAGACATTATCAAGATAAAATTTTACCCACAATGTAATTATACTCTATCATAGTGCACAAGTTCTATCCTTATAAGTCTAAATGAGACTTGGGATTTACACACAATAAGGCCATCAAAGTCACAAAGGCAATCTGTAGTCAGAGATGAGACAAAGTACCAGAATCTTCAATATACCATATGACTTCCATTTATTTGTCTTCAGCTTTATGAAGGTATACCAGTTGGGAAGACTGGCTAACTACGCAGAAGTGCATCACTTCAAGTTGTCCCCCTCCATATAGCACACATACATAGGAAAAAAACCAAAATTATAGTGAGGAGAAATGTATGGTTTTGAGCCAAGTTGTCATCAGTGTCTAACCATTAGAGTACCAGGCAGTTCACTCCTCCATATGTGATTCAAGCCAACTGTCAAAACCTTCACGGAATGATGACAAGTTTTGATTTGACTACTCTTAGCTACTTCCCAAAATAACTATATCTCAGCTAACATTTTTCGACGACCAAGGCGGTGGCTCATCATGTGCAATATGTGTACAAGTCATCTCAATCTATGTAGCTTCACAACCTTGTCGACAGAATTTTCCTCTCTACCTAACAACCTATACCTAACCTCAGTATTACTTACCATATTATGCCACTTGATACGGCGGATAAAAAGCTAAAATCCATGATCAGTGATATCCAGCCTCTTCAGGTCCTACACTTTCAATGGCCATTTATCATAGCCATGAGGAAGGACAGAGTGAACTGCCGTACAGTACTCACTTCTTTTGATCGGCAGCTGGATATCACGTCTACACTGGAGATGAAGTAAGTTGGCAGATGCCACACCAACACTCTTATATTCCTGCCGAGATTTCGTCAGCAATCGGTCCATTAAGGCGGAGGCAGTATCCCACATAAGTAAAATGGTCAGCAAGCCCAAACATTGTCTTTAAATAAGAAGTCGGTACAAACCAGTCCTGTATCATCAACTTACGTTTGACAGGGGCGAATCACATTGCCAAATATACAAAGATAGCTGCCCAACGTATTCAGAAGACTGTGTATCCTATCAGAATTTCTGCCTAGAAGGACTATATCATCTACATACACTAAATCGATGAGACTTTACCTTGATAACAAGTCAATCCATAAGTCTCTGAATTCGATTAGGGTGACACCCATTAGTAAATTTAAAATGAAATTGGAGATACTGGGCCTCCCTGGTGGACACAACTAGTTTCCACAACTTCAGAGAATAACTCTGCATAAACTCTTACACAGCTGAGTGAGTTCGAGTAGAGTGCTTTGATTAATGTGATATACTCGCTAGGCAATCCATTCACTGACAGCACCTTTGAGATGGTAGAGTCAAGTGGCGCCTCCAGGTGAAGAAATATGACTAGTATTAGATGCTGGTAAGTATGTACATGTCACAGAATCTGTTCAATAATGAATATAAGATCTGTACATTCTCTTCCTGTCTAAAAGCCTGCCTGGTATTTCCGAATGTGTATCTCCCCAACACCACTCAATTTATGCATGATTACTCAATCTAGTATCTTTGATATTATTTTAGTAAAGCTGATCCCCCTACGATGATCACAGTTAAACTAATTTTCCTTCTTATTAATTGGGATAATTATTAATTTTCACCAATTCAGTGGGGCTATCTCGTATTCACACACACTACCCAATATCTTACTTAACCCAGGCCCCATTTCATCATCAACCTCTTTATACACCTCTTGAGTCATTCCATCTGGTCTGGCCACTTCATCTCCTTTAAGATGAGAGACAGCCTTTTCAATCTCAACTGCAGTTGGAAGACCGATATCTACACCTTATTCGGGTAGGTGCTGGATGCTGGGGTAACTGAAATGCTCATCAAAGTTTTCCTTCCAACGTTTCAGTCTTTTCTCCTGACAGTTAGTTAAAGTAGCATTTCGTTTATCGTAGGGGTTTTTCGTGCAATCTATCCCAAGCAAAATACTAAGCCGTATCATCCTGGAGAGAATCAAACACGCTCTGGGTGAAAAACTTCGACTGGAACAGGCTGGATTCAGGAGGGACAAGTCATGCATCGATCAAATAGCAACACTACTTGTCATCACTAAACAGAACTTGGGATGGCAGTCAGCTATCTACCTCACCCAACCTCATAGACTTTGAAAAGGCCTTCGGTAGCGCAGCGTCGATCAAGAGGTGATTTGGAAACTACTTTGCTACTACGGGATGCCGTCAACAATTATACATCTCATCCAACAGTTGTATGACAATGCTGGATGCCAAGTAATCCACAACAGGAAACTCACGAAATCCTTCGAAGTGAAGACGGGAGTAAGACACAGCTGGCTGGCTGGCTGCCTACTATCTCCGATGATTCCCGTGGTTGCGGTAGACTGAATAGTGCGACAGAGAGCGCGCATCGAGGAGACAGGCATAAAATAAACTCACACAAAATACTTGGAGGATCTGGATTTCACCGATGATGATATTTGTCTGATTTCCCACAAAGTGGAAGATATGCGAGTGAAATGCAGCAAGTTGGCAGAAGAAGCATCCAGAAAAAATAGGACTTCAGGTGAACATAAAGAAAACAGAGATGATGAAGATTCCTGGCCAACAGCAACAACAACAGACAACAATCAGCATAAATGGGAGAAATCTGAAAGAAGCAACCTCCTTTACCTACCTGCCTAACTGGGAAGCATCGTTTCAGAGACTTAACGCCGCGTCACAAAGGACACTTCGAACAAACTACACACCTTCATCAATAGCTGTCTTCGGTCAATACTCAAGATCAGATGGCCGGCCAGAAAAGATCAACAACAGGGATCTCTGAAAGCGAAACAACCCAGCAGGAACCAATTGTGCAACAAATATGCATGAAGAAATGGAGGTGGACTGGTCATACTCTGAGAAAACCATCAAGTGACATCACACGACAGGCCATCGCTCAAGTGGAACCCGAATGCGAAGCGGAGAGTTGGTCGTCAGTGTGAGGGTGGCACAGCGGTAGAATACTCGCCGACCACGAATGTGGTCCGGGGTTCGATCCTCGGCCGACACACTCCTTTACCTCACTAAGCCAGTAATAAGACTGGTAAAGAGGGAAGATTGGGCATGAGGCTAGCAATCCCATCCCGTAAAAACAAACACCACTGCTACCGAATAATCAAGCTTCTAGCTTGAAGCCCTATGTTCCACTGGGAACGTAAATGTATAAAAAAATCATCTCAGTATTAATTAATTATAAAATTTTATTACTTGTAATATTCGTGATAATGAACATGATTTTTCAAAAAAAATGCAGTACACTTTATGCCTAAAAGATAAAACAAAAAAAACAGAAAAATTCCTTTTTACTAGAATAGTTTTATGGAAAACAAGGAAGGATATAGTCAAAAAAAGACTAAACATCAATTGATTTTACTTCTGGTCTACGAAAATGACGCATATGTGAACTAGGATCATTAGGTCGAAATGGTGCATTAGCACCATATGGAATTAAAGTTGGATTACACTTGGAAGTAGATAACTGGCTAAGAGTAGCATCTGTACTGGAAAGATTTTCACAAGATTTTCGTGGTGAATTTCGATAAAGCAGATAGGCATTAGGTCTTTCTGGTGCTGTTGTCCAATAGTTGTCCGATTCTAAAGCCTAGAATGAATAAATATCAAATGAAAAAAAATGAATTCTTAGCATTAATTTAAAAATATTACTAAAAGTTAATGTATGTTTTAGAGATATTTTTATTAGTGTTACTATAATATCTGACAAAATATTCATTCGTTCATCATTTTACACTTACTTTTATTCTTATGAGATATACTGATCTTGTAATTATTAACACTAATATCAAGCCAGGGATTCTATACTGTTCGGAGGCTTGTCCTGCATCTTACCAGAAGCACTTACAACAAGTTAGTGACGACTTTCATCAAAACCTGTCCTCCTTACTCAATGTAAAGATCAGACTGCCTAACAGAATGGACAAGTAACGAGGAACTCTTGCAGTGTATCGGACCAGCCAACAACCTACTGGCCAATAATTATGCAGGAAGAAATGAAGATAAACTAGACACAAGCTGAGGAGACATTCAAGTGAAGTCATTCACCATGTCGTCCCACAAGTAGAAGCCGAGCTGGAAGAGACGAGTTGGGTGTCGGTCCGAAAGTGACCTGTTGGAAACTGTGTTAAGTGGAGGCGAAAGCTTGCGGACAATCGTACAACCACTTGAAAATAACTGCAGAAGACAGAATACAATGGAGATGGACTTCTAAAGCTTAATATTTCACTCGCAACCCAATGAGGTGAATAATACTGTTTCTAATAAGAATGCTAAGAAATCTCTCATGTTAATAGAAATATATAAATTAATTAATTGGATTGAATGCTATGTAGTAACTAGTAGTGACTAGCATCATGCGTCTAATTCTTTGTTTGGTGAAGACTGAATTCTATCACTCAATTTTACAATATGGTCACCATACCACTAGGTGACCAACCATCTTGGTGTACACTGAATTGTTATGATTAGATGTTTGGAGGCAATCGGCCACAGGAAGCCTTCCAACTAGGTTTCGTGCAAGTTAGCACCCACGAGTCAGAAAGGCGCATCTGCGACTACCTTGAAGAAACTCATTTTTTTTCTGAGATTCGAACCAACGTCATCAGCCAGTGCTGCAATCAGAGACGTTATCACTGAATTACTTGGTCTCGCGATTGACCTCTCATAGGACTATAGTGGATACTTTGATTGGAAACTAGGTAGTAACTATTGTCATGCATCAAGTCCTTTATTTGGTGCAGACTGAAATCTACTAGTCAGGTTTGCAGTGTGATAGTGGTTCAAATCTGAGAAGAGACACGAATTCCTTCAAGATTGCAGATAATTATCACTTACAAGCGCCAAAAAGCACGAAACCTATGTCGAAGATTGAAACCATCTAATATAAACCAATTTTTAGAACTCTCAGGATCTCATTAATTTCAAGTTCGACTTCTTCATGGGCCGAAATCAACTAGAAATGGCATTTTATCTATGGCCTTATGAGAAAACTAAGGTTTGGCTAGCTGAGTTAAAAGACGTTTGACATTAACATTCAAAAACTTGATCAAAATCCAATAAGCTATGTCAATCAATTCATGAAATAGCCCTATCATCATCCAGTGTCATTGATAAATTTATCCAAATCTGTAAATTGAAAAGTCAAGGTTTGATTTCCTATGAAGTAGTTGAGGATTAGTGAATAACCCCCAATTTGAACAGAACAGTTATTCAGTGCTATCTTTTCAGGGATTTAATTTGAATGGCATACATCTCTGATGAGAGAAATAATCACTGTATTTTTGTTATCTGATGAGTTGTGCTCTAATTTACAACTATTATTGATGAGAACATTTATATATTGTTTAGTGTATAGTTTACTTTTTTCAACATCTCGAGTAATGATGTACACTACTCTAAGTTATAACAGTTTTATTCCATACAGTATATTCACTGAAATAAGGACTTTTTCGAATTACCTAAACTTCAGTCCAAATTATTATCCAACTGTCAAGATTTATGTATATGTCACCGTAATTAAATTTAGTGTACTGAAGTCTGTCTTATGATCTGCAACAACGGGTGAAATCGTCTCGATGTCATTCATGCCGTCAAACGTTGGGTTAACAATGCTTCTGTGAAGCTTCGTCTCTTTGAGATGAAGATGAGCACCAAATAATGAGAGTTGGATTAACTCAGCCTCAATAGAATCACTTGTAGACGGTGACATCGTAATGTAATTTATTCTGAGACCTAGTGGCGTGTATTTCGACATGGAATAGATCACCATTCAATTAGTGTCGTTATCTCTTGGGACACCAACTTTGATAGCTTGGATATGTGCTACGAATGTCATTTTGTGATGGTGTGATACACACAATGTGTGCCAACGGAATCTTATTCTCACATGTTCCCACAATTCAATACGGCATTAAGAAAAGAAAACGATATATCTGTTTGAACATCTATTTGATTTTAGAGTTGAAATGTTATTCCCACAGTTCATTACTCCATTGGTAACAAAATATTATGTATATCTGAACATTCTATTTCATATCGTTTGAGGCAAACCATAATCACACGCTCAGCAATCGGTCAACGAATATAAACTGTAGATATACAAACAGTGATTTGATTAATGAAAAAGATACTTCAGCTTCCGTGTCTTGCCTTCTGTTGTAACATTCGGTGTCGCTGCCTGCCGACAAATGGAAAGCCTATGCCCTGCAGGTTTGATGAAGACATATGGATCTTCGGACAGGACTTCGAGGCTGTTGCGCAGTTGAGTGGCGTTCAAGATCCGTCAGCGATGAGGCTGTTACTGTGAACGCTGCTGGAAGGTCGGACGATGGCAGCATATGAGAGTGCGAGGCGAAACACCGACGAACACTAGCCAGGGTCATGCAAACTACTTCCAAAGTGGGAAGGACCATACATGGTCACCGTGAGACGAGGTCAGGTATATACGATCAGAAATGCAAACAAAGAGGAGCGGGTGAACGTCAGCGAGCTCCGGAACTCGATACAACAAGATAAGCCAACAAAGCCGCCAGCACCAAGAAGATCCAACCGACTTCAGTCAAAAGGTTTTGACAGGAGGACGAGTGTGGTGGTGTGATACAGACAATGTATGCCAACGGAATGTTATTCTCAAATGTTCCCAAAGTTTAATTTCACCAGCCCTCATACTATTCACTGTTTTATGGCTAGATAAGAAGAGGAGGAGCAGTTGACTCATGACCTCGCTATGTGGTATAAAAGATAAATACGTTAGACTGTCACCCTCCAGTGAGTGTATCAGGACTCCCTGAGAGATCGTCCGAATCACTGGCTGAGAATCGTAATCAGTATCCAACATGTTACAGCTTCTTTCCTTCATCTTCTTCTGAAACTAATATGAAGTAGCCAATGCTCCTCTGAATGCTTCTGATAGGTTTGCGTATCTCTTCTGATAGTACTGTTCCTCAGTTATTCTACATCTTTTCCATATATACATATATATGTACATTGTTTCTATGTGTTGCACATATTGTAACAAGTTTGTGGTTGCAAAAATAATAAAAAATTTCAATAATCTAAGTAAATATTCGACCTTTAAGGCTCTCGAAGTGCAACTAAGAGACCAGTGTTCTATAAAACTAATTAGTTTTATGTACAATAAGCACTTAAGTGAGATAATAACTTTTAGATTTACACCGAAATTCTCATTTTTGAAATTACTACGTATTTATTATGTATCAAGCCTGGGGAGAAAACATACCTTTGTGATTCTGGCTCTTTCAGATTTCCACTGAATTGTTCTATTATATTTTTCCCATTCCTCAAGTAAATCATCTGTTGGCGGTTCACCTGCCTCCATACGACGATAACACTCAGATAGAAAAGCTCGACGCTCCTAAAAACAGGAATGAAAATGTTACAATGACACAGCATCCTTTCAATCACTGGTATCACTGATAGTTCGGAAAGCAAGCATATAGACATGATGCAATAAGCTACTGTGCAAAATTTAATTAAATGCATTGCCAGTTACTCCAAGTAGCTGACCTCAATTAGGGTAGTTTGAAGTGGTCTGGCCCTATGACATGAGTCGCACTACATACACTGCTGATGAGGCTGACCCCAAAAAGAATTATGCAGCTGTCTAGTGTTCATTATTATTATTGTTTCCTTTAATTCCTAGAGGAACATAGGGCTTCAGCCGTGCCTCTCCACTGCGTTTGGTTCTCTGCCAGAGTTTTCACCTGGCTCCAAGTCTACCCACATGTTTTCATCTCCCCTTCACATGACCTCCTCCAAGTCACCCTTGCACTGACGACCAACTCGGCGCTTCCCTTTCGGGTTCTAGTGATGTCACTTGATGATTTCCTCAGAGTATGGCCAATCCATCTCCATTTCTTCCCGCCTATTTGTTTCACAATTGGTTCCTGGTCGGTTCGCTCCCAGAGATTTCTGTTGCTGATCTTTTCTGGCCATCTGATTTTGAGTATTGAGTGAAGTCAGCTGTTGATGAAGGTCTGTAGTGTGTTTGACGCACCAAGTCTCTGATCCGTATAGTAGTACTGACTTCACATTGGAGTTGAAAATTCGGATCTCATTTTTCATGCTGAGTGCTGTTGATCTCCACACAAACTTAGTGAGAGTAATGAAAGCTTGCCTTGTTTTCCCGCCTTATCAGTTCCGCCTGTAGTTGAAACGATGCTTGCCAGGTCGCAGGTAAAGGTGGTTGTTTCTTTCAGGTTCCTCCTATTTATGCTGATTGTTGTCTGTTGTTGTTGTTGCTGTTGCTGTTGGCCAGGAATCTTCATCACCTCTGTTTTCTCTATGTTCACCTGAAGTCCTATCTTTGATGCTTCTTCTGACAACTTGTTCCTTTTAGCTTGCATATCCTCCAGTGTTTAGTTCATTTTAATCTAGCCAGCAAACAGTACTGGATGGTGTGACTAGTGTCCAACTACTTACATCAATGAATCAGTTTTGTACAGCATTATGAATTTATACTTTTCAAACATATTTATAAGTGTGAAGAACAGTAAAAGACTTTCTTTTTTATTGCTACAAGAAATTGCTGTAGAGAATAAGTAGAAATAATGGAAAAGATTTATTTAAGTTCAGATAGATGATATTCGTGTGGTTGTAACCATTGAGTTGAATGATTTAATGGAAAACGTTTCATTATCTTTCTGGACAACATTTTCAGTGACAATTTCCATTTAAAGCTGACTACTAGAACTCTCCATGAGTGTAATAATCGTCTCTATCGGTTTTGAAGACACTTTTCAATGATAATTTTGATACTAATTTAGAATTTAACACAAAAAAGAGATAAAATCAATTACTTATTCACATGTGTGGAAATCTACACTACACTCAGCATAAAGAACAAGCTGCGAATTTTGAAATCCAGCCTGCCATATGAGACAAGTGGACAACGTATTCAACGACATCATTCCTTATCTATCCTAAGAACTAGAAGTCGGTGAAGGAGAATTCATACAGAGTTACTTAGCATTTCACAGAGTAGTGAATCAAACGCAGAACATATTTAAATTTTGTCAGTGACTTCATGTAGAAGAACCAAAACATCCTCATACTGTCAGTCAACAAGAATTTTGGCTGGTGATAAGTCAGATTTGATAGAAAGTTTATCATTTATAGTGTCTTAAAATGAACTTTCTAAAAGCATCTAAATAGTTGATAAGGAAATTAATCATGTTTCTGGATAGTTATTTGTTTCTCACAGAACTTAACTAACCATTTCACATGACAGTTTATTCAAAAATAAAAACTGCCAGGTGTCTTGGAATTCAGACCGAATTGAATCGAAGTAAATTTCAATGCACAACATTTCCACAACTTCAATGAAGTTATTACAATACTGATGAGTCAGTGGTTCAAGTAGAGTAGAGTAACCTCCAGTCATGGAAGTGATCTAGGTTCAATCGCCGACTGACGCACTCCTAAACCTCGCTTAGTTTACTACTTGGTAATAAATCAGGGAAAGAGGGAAGGTTAGGCGTGAGGTTAACCACACCACTTGCTGAAAACTACACCACCGCTACTGAAACTACAAAGCGTTCCACTCAGAACGTAAAGGAATGAAGATGAAGACAAATCGTATTACTTATAGTAACAAAAAGAAACTTGGCGTGTCACGAAAAGGATTTCCAACAGGTTGCAGACTTTTATCAACAGCTGTCCCTTTCTATGGCTCCAGAAAGAATTAGCCACAGGAAACTCTGGCTGGCAACAAACCAACCGAGCAAGAGCCGATTGTTTAACAAATATGTAGGAGAAAATGGAGATGGATTGGGCATACGTTGAGGAGGCCATCGAATGACTTCGTACGTAATGCAGGCCATCGCTCGAGTGGAATCCAAATAGGAAGCGGCGACGAATGGGTCATCGGTGACATGAAGGAGATCGTGTGGTGAGGAGGTGGAAGAGGAAGTGTAGCTAGCCAGCTGAAGAGGATAGGGGAAAATAGAATGAAGTGGAGATGTGTTGTTGAAGCGGTATGTTCCACTCGGAATCCAAGGGAATAATAATAACAATAAGAAACATTACATTATGATCTACATAACCTGACTATTATTATAATCATGTAAATAAAAGATTTATACATAAATAGCAACATTTTTTCTGAGTTACCTTGACTTGTTGTTGTAGTTCATAGGCTGTAGTCATTAACATTGTTAATTCAGCTGTTGTAGCTTTCAATTGTCTTGTAGTCTGCATAGTTGTACCTTTTTGTTTATTTGTTTTAATAGCTAATGATAGTGTTACCTCTCTGTGTTGAAAATATAAATAAAATTTTAAAAAATAAATATATTTTTTAACTTTAGAAAACTGCATTCACCTAATATTAACACAGAAATACCTGATATGTAAATGAAATGATTTTAAGTACACTTCTTTTCAAACCTTAATGAATAATCTTGAACCACACGGCTACATCAAATCAAGTATGAAGTACGTCTCAGATGAAACTGATAATAACACTGCCTAAAAGAGGAAACTATACTCAGTATAGATATAACCGTATAGTGGTGCATTCATTATTCATCAGCTTTGGTAACACATTAGTATACCTCAAAGATCCTGATGTTAGGTGTGTTTTGTTGCCTTTATATTGATCCAGATTTAGTATAGTAGTGTCTTTCAGTGAATGATAATATGCTTTGATAAATGTTTATCCTTATTAAAAGGCTTTATACTCAAGTTATCGTGAGGGACCAATTTACAGCTTAGAGTGAGCGTTCCTGTGAAATGTTTGCGTCGGCTGGTGTTCCTGAAGTAAGTTTTTACTCATTCCACTCTTGTCCAATTTCCTATAAGGTAAGTTTATAAATGTTTTCATGTTGTTGTCTAAATTCACAGATAAACCTATTCACGGGAGGTTCCTAAGTTGACTTAGTGAACGAAGATAGTATGACCATCTTCAGTAAAGAGACTAACATAAAGTAGACTTCTGAATATGTTGAGTATATATATATATATACATTACTAAGATAAATACGACGTCTGAGTTTGATGTGAGCAATCTCAAGTCATAGTCTACACAAATAAATGAATTAAGGAAGTTATTAAACATTTGGTTACAGGATTTCATCATAAGCTGACATTGGTTAGAAGACCATTGGAAAACCTGGGAGTACTGAACAGCTGTTCCGTCCTAGTTTGGGACTCTTCAACAGTATGCACCCACCGGGGTTCGAATCCAGGACCTTCTGGTTACAAGGCCTTGAAATCCTGTAATCAATCAATCAAAATCCCTACAAACCAATACTTGAATATTAATAAACATTTGCCAGTTGCCAGTCTACTGTGTATTTCCGTACTCTATTTGAGACAGGAATAGATGTTAAGCTGCCTCAGCTATACATCACCGCACTGTACAGTCACTAACAATCAGTCTTATCTCTCTAAAGAAGTGAAGATTGTTTTGCAAAAGTCATGTGTGACCACAGAAACAATATGAAACATATTTAAATCCATGATGTGGATTTATTCATTCCATATCTTCAAACTATTGTCAATATCATTCCCTTGAGTTCCAAGTGGAACATAGGGCTTTGACAGCACATCTCCATCCCACCTTGTTACCTGGAGTTCTTCTTAGTCAGACAATGAGTTTTCATTTCCTCCTCACATGACCTCCTATATGTCACCCTTGGAATGTTGCCCAACTCGTCGCTTCTGATTGAGGTTCCACTCTAGAACTCACCTGGTGCGCGATATTGACTGGCAGTAACCTCAGGGTGTGTCTGACCCATCTCCACTATCTTCTGTATAACTGAAGAGCTATAGATTCTTGATCCCCAGTAAGGAGCGAAGGCAGTTATCTACAAAATTCTGAAGCCTACTGAAAATGATTTTCGTAGCATTCGCGGCAAGTCTTATCTAACATTGCTGTTAAGAATCTTAAATTGTTTTCTGACGCTAAGTGCAGGAGATTTTCAGACTGATTTCAGATTGATGAACGTGTACCTTACCTTTCCGATTCTAGTTTTGACATCTTCATTCAGGCCGTCACTTAAACTTGAAAGGATGCTGCCTAGAGAAATGAAAGAAGTAACCTCTTTCAAATTTTTCACTCTGGTAGTGATTGGTTCTTGTTGTGGTTAGTGGGTTATTTTCACCACCTCCATTTTTCTCTTTGTTGACTTGAAGTCCTGTCTTTTCTGCTTCTTCTCCCAAATTGTTAGTTTTCACCTGTGATTCTTCGAATTGCTGTGATATTAGATATGAGTCATCCGCAAAGTTCGGATTTCATAGAGTCTTCTCGTTGGTTTAACATCTTGATCCCCATGGTCTGTTGCACAATTCAGTCCACTACAGTAAGAACTTTTCTTGTATCTCACAGAATCCCCTCTCTCCTATATTCTTCTTCCCTCCGAATTGCTCGCAAATGTTAAGTATGGTAATTTCCAGTAACATGTGGTCGGACTAGATCTACTTTCAATGTGGATTTCATCATGAAGCAACACCCATTAGGGGTAATTGGAATTCGGGAAGCAATGTGCGGGTGTTTCGTACTTGTTTGGGACTTATCACGCACGACGCACTGAGGATTAGTCCTGAGACTTTCAGGCCACAAGACCAATCTAGTTGACGATTCATCCACTTGAGCTGGAAGTCAGTGACTCACGAATTTTTACCTAAAGATCCCATGTTCATCCCCTGGAAATAATGCTTCAACTCAATCAGTCATCTTCAAGCAAAATGATAATCTCTGCTGAAAATTATTGATAGAGAAGACACGAAAAGTGTTCTTTGGTTGTTTACAATCATTAATCTACCCCGACTTTGAGTGTAACCACCAAGTCAATGTTTGGTTTTAGACAACTGAAAGTAACCATGGCTTTCCTTCAATTAATAACCTTGAAAATACCTTACCAACCAAAGAAGTGTTCTTAAAATTTGAACCTATGTAAAAACGAAGATAAAAAATAATACCCCTCCATGATTCTCTATGTCTTATAGTAACCACATTTCATTGAGGGAGAGGGCTGTCGAGTAACTGCGTCAGGGATTGATATGTTCGATTCTCCTGAAAACGAATACATAAATATCTAGTCCGTGAGTGTATCTTTATATGAAGTAGGGTTGGTGGTTCAGTGGTAGAAGGCTGACCAACCACGCAAGTGGAATGGGGTTTGGTCCTTGGTCAACACACTCCTAAATCTGGCTAAGACGCTGATAGGGCCCATAAAGAAAGGAAGCTGGGTACAAGGCTAGCAATCTCATCCTGTAGAAATAAAACCACTGCTACTGAAATTTTATATCTCCAGCTTGAAACCCTATGTTCACTCGGAACGTAAAGGAATAAAATAATAAATAAATAAACAATATTTCAACACAGTTCAGCTAGAACATTTAAAAAAATTCCTCTACATTCCCTGTGGAACATAGAAGACTTCAAGCTAGAGGCTTGAAGTTTCATTAGCAGTAGTATTTGTTTTTACGGGATGGCACTGCTAGCCTCATGCCCAATCTTCTCTCTTTACCAGTCTTATTAAAGCGTTAAGAGAGGTTTTGGAGTGAGTCGGCCAGGGATCGAACATCGAACCACATGTGGCCTGGTTGGAGAGCATTCTACCGCTGAGCCACCGGCGCTGAAATATATACCCTTGCAACCAACACACATGTTAAAAGTGTATCGTAGTCACACCATGCAATCTAAGTAATTCACACCTTCCCATATTGTTGACTAAATATAAAATAATTTTATTAAAAATTGATTCTATTCAAACATCTTACAAGTGAAATCTGAAAGACAGAATACCCTCAGTTCAATAAGTCGACATGTTGATATTCCGTTTACAGGTAGTTATTTTGAACGAATAACTGAATTATTAGTTTTTCGCCCTATCCATCTCTATACAGGCAGTGTCTGAGCGCTAACTATTGTGACTGCAGTAGAATTATGATCTAATTAGTGCAGTTAGTTGTTGTATATAACTTAACTGGCGGGGAATCGGACTTGGAATTCGTAGACAACCTGGTTCACAGTCCTGCCACAACTCGGATTTTCATTTCAATTTCAGTCGTTATCCATTTTACATTGGTAATAGTCTGCCAGCCTGAGACTTTCTTAGACAGTCTCACCATTTTATTATTAAATTTGTTTTCTTGCCTGTAACAAATGTCAACTTTTAATAGAAGTGATTTACCAATGATTTTATCTTGTACACTTTACTCCTCCGACTAAGTTATTTTTAATCAAGTAATCAATAAACAACTTTTCAAGACTCATCACGGATTGATGTCAGTTAGAGAAGCTTTGGAAAACCAGCAGGATGAACTGGACAACTGTTTCTTCTAAGTCTTGGACTCTTCAGCAAAAGGCACTCACGAACCTTTAGGTTATCGAACCCAGATCCAGACACGTTGACCATAAAGCTATCTAGACCAGAATCAAATGGCCCATGAATTCTAGCTCTTGTCATCTCGTGATTTTAGCCAGCCAACATCATTATCAAGTATTTGTCTTCACATCCAACCTGATGGACTCCACTGTTCACGACTTCTCACTAGAACTCCAAGCAACTTCATCCTTTAACCAGTCTTTAGTGGGCACCAGATTAATTTTCATGAGTTAGTTCATGGGGATTTGATTTGTTTCAAATTTACTCAGGGATTGTCACTTAATGAAACTCTGAAAACCAGGGAGTATTGGAAAAGTGTTTCATCCTAGTTATGGACACTTTAGCGGTTAGCACCGAGAAAGCCCCCGCCAGGGTTACGAGGCCAAGCTTGTTAATCATTCAGCTACTAGGGTAAGCATCCAATGACCCATGAATTCTTACTTCTACTCCTATGAGTTCACGAACCCAACCATTGAAAATAAAAAAATTATTAAATTTTATTTAATATTTGCACATATAACAAAATTGTAAAAACAAAAAACTTACTTTCCTAAATCAGCTTCTTTTTCAAGTCGATTTACTAAACACTTAATTGAATCTAAAAGTAAATTCAACTCTAATAATTTATGTTCACGACAGCATATTTGTATTTCAAGTGTATCAATTTTTTGTTTTAATTCAGCTGGATTTTCAAGTTTACCGCCAAGTTCATTTAAACGTGATGCATACAATACAATATTAGCTGGCTTTTTATCTTTTATCTGTATTAAATCTTTTTTCACTGAAACACCTTGATCACTATCCAGTAGAAATGCTTTAGGCGTTGTAACTGTATTCTCTAATTTTGCCACACGATTTTTACATACAGCTAACTAAAAAAATAAAGCGAAAATAACAAAAAGGAAGAGAAGGAAATTACATTAGGCAAATATAAATTATAACTGGGCTAAGTTAAACTACAAGCACCATAGAAGTGCTATCGCGCCAATCACCTTGGAACGCAAAGTAAGCAAGTTAGGGAAACAAAGCAAATAACCGGATATCTGGTGAGTCTTAGGTTATCTTTCGAATGGATTAAGTAAAGCCTCAGACTAAGAACTGTTTAGGGATAGGTTATTCTAATAAGGAAGATATTAGGATTGGTTCGAGTTAGGTTAGGGTTCAAAAACCCGGATAAATATATGTGTAGAATACAGTTTAATTACTGTATTCACACTCCAATGAAAAACTGAGTGGTATTTTGTCACATAACAGAGAAAGGTATCTCGTGTAACAGGTTCATGCCATTTTAATTAAAACTGTTTTCATAAATATTCGTAAAAAGAGGCTCTGTTCATGGGATTGGTGCATTCAAGATTATTTTTACATGGCTACTTATTGGTGCTTAAAGTTTAACTTAGCCCTGAATTATACATTTTCAATAGATTGAGATTAGTGAACTATCAAAAGCTTCCTAGATGGATTCTATGTTGTGTTTTGCTTTTGATTTGATCAGTGGTCAGGTGACATTTTTCGAAAAAGAAGGCGGTAGCTCAGTATGCGTAGCATGGATTCTAAATGTCTCATAACCTTTTTCATTCACATTCCTAGACGACTTGACACTGTACGACTAATGTCAATATTTGTAGGAATTAAAGTTGTGGAGTGTTTTTTACGTAAGGAGGATACGTTAATCAACCGGGTTATCAAGCTATATCAGTTGAGACGGCTGTAACACTTGTTGTACATGCCACGCTATCATATTCCTGGTCAAGTGGTGATGGCTGATATAGAAGTAGATTAGAAAAGAGTAAAGTGTGGGAAGACCAAGGCTTGCCGTCAATCAACAAAGCTTTTGAATGCTAGTTTTGGCCACGTGTAGAAGTGTAGACTGATAAGGTACTATTTTTGAGACGTCAGGAAGCAAAAGTTTGAGAATTTTGGTGAAATGACTGAAAATGAATCCTAATGCGGCATAGGCATTGAATTATTCTTTGTAATCTCACACACAAGTGTTTCGCTTGAGTGGCTTCAAACTGATCATATCGGCCAGTGTTGAGTGTCATCATGCATGCAGTTGGATAGATAAAATGCATTTATCCACTCCGTAACCTACCAAAATTGGGCGATTTCAGCCTCTGCAGGAGCTGGCTCGGAATAATACTCTTCTCTATGCCAAGCAAAATATTAAGTCGCATTATCCTGAAGGGACTAAAAGACTCTCTGGATGCAAAACTCCCTGCTGAACAAGCTGGATTCAGAAAAGTGAATCACACGCAAATTGAATATCTACCTCAACTTCATTAACTTCTAAAAGGCCCTCAACAACGCCGACTGTGAAGTAATTTAGAAACTGCTTCAACACCACGGAGTGCAATGTCCCATAACCTTACCGACTTCATTCAACAGCATTATTACGAAGCCAACTGACATGTAACTCACAACGGAAAACCCAGTGACGTGTCAGAAGTGAAGACAGCAGTAAGACAAGGCTGCCTACTATAATCGATGGTATTACTGGCTGTGGTGAACTGGATCAGATGGTGAACCGTGAGGGGTGAGAAGACTGAAATACACTGGGCCAACGGAAAGACCCTAGATCTGGACTTCGCCGAACGTTTATGTCTAATGTCATATAAACATGAAGATCTACAAGAGTGTTGTCAGAAGAGGAAGGAGGCGAAGGTAAAACATTAAGTAAAAATACAGAATACAAAGGTGAAGTTCCCTAACCAACAATAACAAGCATCATTCGCTGTAAATGGCAGATATCAAAACCAGCAAGGATGCCATCGAAAAAGGCAAGGTAGATCATCAATAGTCTGAAATCAATCTGGAAATCTACTGCGCTAGGCATAGAGAACAAGATTTATATTTCTGCATTAATGTCAAACCACTTAGTGCTTCTCTATACTTCAGAGACCTATGCTGCGCGTTATCAAGACCACTTTGAACAAGCTTCAGACTTTTATCGATAACTGCCTTCGCTAGCTCCTTACTGAAGATCAGATGATACGGCCAGAAAGGACTGGCAATGGAGGAACTCTGTTAGGAAGCAAGTTAATCACGAGACTTTTACCCAACAAATATTCGGAAGAAAATGGATATGTACTGGACACACACTAAGGAGACCGTTGACTGAAATAAAATGCCAGACCAGCCCTCAGTTGCTCACCATCCAGGCAGGAGATCTAGGTTTGATACCTGGTTAATGACTAAAGAAGATGGAAGGTTGGACATGACGTTAAGAGCTCTACCAGGTTAAAAACAAAATCAGCACTACTGAAGACTTAAAAGCCTGAAGCCATGCTTTTTTTGTAGACTGTGAAATATGAAAATACGTTTATTCAATACAACATATTAATACACATAAAGAGATATGGGCCAAAGTTGGAGTATCATAACAAAACCTCAATGACCTTGAACAACCAGTCAGAATGCAGATGCGAAAAAGTCTCATAATCTTTGAAAAATGCACTAAAAAATATTGCAAACTTGATACTAGCTGTAGCTTATGCTTTGTTAGAATGTTTCCCAGTCAATACAGAAACGATCTAGAGAGAAATTGTACCATGAGTGATATACCCATTCATCCAGGTGACTGCAGGTCATGGTACTTTGAGATCCATTGATATTTCTGACATTATTTTCTAACCAACTGCTAATTTTAATTTTAACCTGAAACCTTAATCTTAAAAGCCACAACCCTACCTAAAAACATAGATTCGCAGGAAAAAAGTACCCAGTGAATGCGCAGAATACTGTAACTATACACTCCAAATCCAAAAATCCAGGCATGATTTGATTTGGAATGACATTTCATAGCATTCCCTGTGCCTGTTTAGCTCTTGAAGATTGACTTTTGAAAGACCTTGGCTTTGGCTATGATGCTTTAACTTCCTCGAGTTGATTTGTAAAGATTTGATTTAGTTTTCGATTCTGACCAAGGATTGATACCAGTAAGAGAACCATTGAAAACCAGCCACAGGGAGTACTGGATAGCCTTTTCATCCTAGTTTGCGAAACATTAGCAGTACACACCCACTAGAGTTCGGAACCCAGAACCTTCCGGTTACAAGGCACTACGACCCAGTTCAATGGCCATCCCATGAATTCCAGCTTCTGCCGATTCATGATGAGTTCAGCGCGACCACCAAACAATGCCATTGGCGGGAAATCCATCCTCACATCCAGACAGGACGCACTTAACTGGTCATAACTTCTCACTGGAACTCCAGGAAACCCCATCCTGTAGCAAGTTATTAACAAGCGTCAGATAAACTTTCAAGAGTTTATTTGTAGGCATTTCATTTGTTTTTGGAGTTCGCCCACGGATTGGTTTTCAGTGGTTCTCTAACTGATATCAATCCGTGTGGTCAAAATCGAAAAATATTTTTTATTGTCCAGGAATTAAGCGGACAATAAAATTTGAACTTATCCACTTTTCACAAAACTCAGAGATAATTCAGTTTAGACAGCTGTAATTCAGGCAATATTAAGTTAGTCAAAAGCTAATCTATTTTATCAATGAACTGAAGATAACTGAGAAACTTCTTACTACAACTAAAACCAAAATAAGGCAAAAAGTAAAAACTGATTTACTTGTAGTTGACCAGATAAAATTTCATTTTTCAACTTTTCTCTTTCTTTTTCCTCCTTCTTTATACGTTCATTACTTCGGATCAAATCATTCTTTGTTTGCTGAAGCCATTTTATCTCATCTTCTAATTTATTCAGCTCTATTTCACCTTTACAAAGTGTAAGATTTTGTAGATTTAATCTTTCCTAATTATAAATATAAAAGAAAGAAAGAAAGAAAACTTGTAGTGGAATCTCTAGTGGATGAACACATTTTGTTCTATTTTTAGACTTGTCAGCCTGATGCAACACTGCATTCCTGTTGAATGATAGTGTCCCCAGTGAGAAGTGAGAAAAGTACTTGCAGTGGTGGGTGATTCCCTAAAATTATTAACTACTGTATTCATCACCGAGCCCTGGATACTGACCCTCACTGTTTAAGTCGACTTGTTTAGTTGAAGGCTCACAGGCAAGCATTCACGCTATTCGGGCACGCCGTCGTTCATTCGTGCACGATCCCTAGCTAGTTAAACAATACTATAGCAGTTGTGGATATTAGATCTTGCGTTAGTATACATCGTACTATTCGTGAACATCAACACTTTCCCTCAGCCAGTAAAGGTCTATATATCAATATCATTTGGAGAATCTGGGGTATTCTATATAATCACTCTAAAATTTCCTGTCTAATTTTGTGCGTTGGTGGCACAGTGGTTAGGACTCTCGCCGACAATGTACATGGTCCAGGGTTCGATTCCCTGCCGACGCACACCCAATATCTATGGTCGGCCTGTAAATTTGGGCTACCGATATCCATGCTGAAAATTCCATACTTGTACTGAAAATACGGTGTGGCATCAAGCTGTAATAAAAAAAACACTGTGCTCGAGTTTGAAGTGTAATCCAATTTTAAAAGGCATTTGAATAACTCCTTCACATAACAAGGAGATTAAACTACCAAGACAAAATATAATTAACGCATAAATTATAAGGTTTCATCAGACGACTTACAAGAATAACAATAAGTAATCTGAGTGATGAGATGGTTTTCAATACTATTGTGGACACACACATACACACGCATCTTGAAGCTACTCGTTTTCAAATTATGACAAACAGATATAGTTCTACGAACAAGCTATTTGATGTACATATATAGCAAAATACAGATACCTTACACTAAAATCTATATTTGCAAATTATCTCCGTGTTGTGCTTTCCATGTCTTTATCCCTGCTACCTCTCTATTCTCATGAATGCTGACTGATCCATTACTTTTGATAACATTCCTCTTTCATAGCGTTAATCACCGCCTTTACTTGTCGCAGAATATCGACCCTAATAATTATTCGATGAAACTGAGACACAACAATGAACAGAAAGGTTATTTTGTGATCTCCAATGTGAATGATACAGTTTGACATGCATGAACATTATGTGAACCATTAATGCATATTTTCTGACGCTCTAACTGACTCATAAATTGGTAACACCGCAGCCATTGTTTCTACTACTCCTTGGTCATATACTCGCAGCTTAGAATTCATTAAACCTGTTTCTCGACTAGCAGCGTTAGCTAACATAGGATTACGTTGAAAAACAGTTAGGAGTGGTCAAAGCAAAATCTGGCATCAATTCATAATATCTTTTATAGTTGATTTAAGCCGGCTTCGTAGATAGGCTTAGACTGCCTGGTTGGAGTCCTCAGGATGCTAAGAAAAAATGGATTGAGACGATTGGTAAGATGGCTCAGAAATGTTCTAAAGTGTGTGGATCGTCACTGTTTTTTCTCACATACATTTCTAATCTATAAAACACAAGATAATTGAGCAAAGAATATCCTTTTCGATAATTTCCTCTTCTGACTCTACAACTATATACTGTATATGCATAGAAAATTCTAGAATAGTAGTCAATAACAATATTAGTGTTTTTTTAAATAATATCAATTTGTAAAGTAAGATCAATGGAATTACATTTCATTAAAGATGCTCAAATTATAATAATAATATAATGGCATATAGAATATCAAATAAAATTAAAGAAATTGCCACAGAAAATTGAAGATCATTAAAACGTCGATTGACGGCCAAGGTGAAGACAGTGTCTAAACCAACTTCTTTTGAATACATCATAAGTTAGGTTTCTCAATGTGGATCCCAACAGCCAGCCTCAGCAATATGTAGTAGACGAACTCTTAAGGTCAAGTTAAGATTTATTGGTATGCGGTAGATGACTTTGAAAGCCGCCTCGTTAACATCAATCTTGTGTTCTGTATCCACAAAATGAGATAGAATAGAGATATGAATGGATTTTGTTTGTCCTTTACTTAACCACGCAGGGTGATGTTCGGAAATCCGACGATAAACACGCCTAATTGGATGGCCTATGTAACTGGCTCCACAGGAGCAGTCAAAATGGTAGATAGACATCGAAGTGGCAAAATTAGGCAATTTATCTTACTCAACAAATCGATATTACTTAAAAAACACCAATATTGTTATTGACGACTATTCTAGAATATTCTATGTATATAAACATATATATGATGTAGAGCCAGAAGAGGAAATCATCGAAAAGGATATTTTTGGCTCAATTTTTTGTTTTTCCTAACTTTCTGAATGAATATTTTCGATAGATTGTAGTTCTTTTGACTTTCACATTTCCTTACCTATATATACGCTAAATGTAGTGTGACAACACATGAAATGCTCCACGTTTGAGCAAAATTCTACGCTGAAATTCTATCAGTCATTATTTCATGTATGGTAAGTAAAAGATAAAAACGTTTGTTGAAATAAAAGAAACACACACACACACACACAAAGACGAATACGGTAAAATTTACTTGTAAAACACAGAATTCTTCATTCCGTTCAACTAATTCAACAGCTCGATCATTGCGTAATTTTATGGCATGACCTATAGCCTTCCTCAAATTTTCTAATTGTTTTGTAGTTCGTGTAATGATATTATTTTGTCTTTGAATTGCTTGTTTCATTTGTTCTCTTTGAGCCTCATTGTCACGTATAGTACAACTCTAAAATAAGTAATAAGTATAATTAATCAAACAATAGGCAAAAATAAAGGAAGAACAACAGTTTTTGTAGAATAAAATGGCACTATCATCATTTGTTTCGTTGGATTCTTTCGCTTCAGCTGCTTACAGCTCAAAGAGGTCAATTTACAATGAGCCTACATGGAAGGGACAATACCTACATTTTAATAGTTTTTGTCAAAATAACTTTAAACAAGCACTCATCAAGAATGTGTACTATAGAGCTAGGAGAATTCGCTCTACAGAGAAATTAGAAGGAGAATTTATGATTCTCGAAAAGATGTTGAAAAATAACGGTTATTCTCAAAAGTTCATTAACATTTACGGTAGATCTTAAAGATCAAAAATCAAACAAATCACAGTGAGAAAAATGTCTGTCTTCATCCAGCTTGATTTTAATGATGAAAATATTACAGCGATTGTCAATTGAAAACTGAGTACCTCACTAGCCAGAGTCCATCCTGCAGCTGAGGTGGTTTCCATCTATCGAACAACATGCTCTTTGATGAAGTCGAAATTCAATAGATCCCCTTCTTATGTTAACTGTAACTGTGTATACAGATTTACATGTATCTGTGGGACCAGTTACACTTTCAGAAAAGAAAGAAGAGCATACATACGAGTTTCTGGACTTATACCGAAAAACCTACGTCTAAAGGAAAAAATGATTTCAACAGTACCATCTCCAGGCATCTCCTTGACACGTGTCATGAGTTGGACGTCACAAGATCGTTCAAAATTATCAATAGGCAAAAGAGTTCAATTCTCCTTAAGTTTGCCGAAGCAATCTTCATCAAGCACCTGGAGCCCAATTTATGAGTTCAGAAAGAATTGGTTATCAGTCTTTCCTTGCCTTAGTAACTGGATGTTTCCATCCTCTCTTTCGTCTGATTACGTAACGCTGAACGATTCCATTTTGTATGATTATTGTTTTTGAGGATAAAATGTTTATTATTATTAGCATTATATGCATTTATTGATTGATTTTTTGTTTAAAAATGAACTCTGTGCAAGTATGTTAAAATTGTTTCTGTAGATATACTTAATAATGTCTTTGGGCTACAAGCAGCTGATGAGAAGCCAACGAAATAAACATTGATGGTACCATTTTATTCTGCAAAAAACGCTTGTTCTTGCTTTATTCAAATTCATGAAGGGGAATAAATGTATGAAATAGCAAATATATGAAAAAATGGGAAAAGATATACCAAAGAAACTTATTTTCGTGAGTCATTCAAAACTCTTCTGTAAAATCCATTTGAATTTTTTCAAACGAGCATGCTTAACAATATGAATAAAAGAAATTTACTCATACCATTTGATATTGATTGAATTATATGAGTAGTAGTTGTATACCGCTCACATCAACCAGTAGTGCTTGCCAGCCATATCACCATATAAGTGATCTAAACACCGAACAGCTGTTTCACTGATTCGGCACAGACTTCAACAACAATGTATCTGGTTTCACTCAACTGAGAGGGCTGAATCAGTTCAAACCACTCAAAATTCTGGCTAGCTTATCGGAATGAGCCGGTAATACACTGAATGAAATTCGTAATTTACAGTGAATACAGTTCGAGGAGTTAAAATTTCACACCATGTGATCTGCTTTGAACTACAAATGGCCATCTAGATGCTGTATGCATATATATTATCGACTGATAGTTCTTGTATTCTCTGAGCTGGGTGGTTTTATTGCAAAGCATTCATTGTCACCAAAGACGTTGTCTACAGGAAGACCATAAAAGTTCCTTAATTTAACACCATATATCAAGGAAAGCAAATATAACAAAATCCTCCACTAGACCTGTAAATCTTCCCTATAATTTTTAAGAAAATTATGTCAGATGCGACAGATACTTTTTAAGAGGAAAATGAGGATCATAGATAGCAGACAGCACCTTTTATTCTGTTTTATATAATCGCCCAAAATGGTGCATTTTCTTGTCTATCAGTTTCATGAAATGGGTGTTATGCCTATTTCTTTGTTTCTGACATCTTACCGCATTCTGAGAAGTGGTGTTCACCTCATTCATAATTTGCATCGTTAAATAACATTGTGAAATGCTAATTACCCATTGCATTACTTACAAAATTAGATATCTACAGTTTTTTTGTCATACGATGACTAATTCGTCTTTTGATTCGACTGTGTACTCTCAGGTTGATGATGATGACGATTTAATTGGAAAGCTTTCGTTGTCTTACTGGACAACATCTTCAATTCAGGCTTTAATATGAAGTGGACTCACTTAAATTCTCTACGAATGAAATAATTGTATCTCCTGACAATCTTTTACACCTTTATTGATAATTGTTTTGTTGATTTAGAATTTAACTTTTTGGTCCTGTGATTTAGTCTTTATTAGATGGTAAAATTCAGTTCTTCTATACGGATCAGAAACTTGACGGCGGGTCACAAAGAATATTTCCAACAGCCTGTTGCAGATCTTTATCAACAGCTGTCTTCGCTCTATACTGAAAATCAGATGACCGGAAAAAATCACCAACAAGAAACTGTGGGAACAAACAAAACAGGAACCAATCGGCCAACAAATATGCAGGAGAAAGTGGAGATGGATTGGACATTCGCTGAGGAGGCCGTTGGGTGACATCGCGCTTCAGGCCATCGCTCGAGTGGAACCCGAAAGGGAGGCGGCGAGTGGGACGTCCAAGGGTGACATGGAGGAGATCGTGTGAAGAGGAATTGAAACAGTATGGATTAACATGGACGCAGGTGAAAAGTACATCAGAAGACAGAAGCAAGTGGAGACGTGTAGTTGAAGCCCTATGTTCCACTAGGAACCCAAGGGAACAATAATAATAATAAATGGTGAAATTTGATCTATAGTAATATTGGCTGTTAACCAATGATTCATTTGAGTATCATGCAATTTTTAGTGTTTCCACTGTTTAAAATGTCTACGTTTTCCTAAATCAAATCGGTGACGATAAATGTCTGCATGAAGAATACATATCATTGCCTTGTCAAAGCTAATTTATACTTTTGAATTCTGTTTCGAAGAGAACGCACACTTTCACCGGTGCAGTGTTTATCAGTTTTTATGCAATTTACTTTGTAAATGATATGGGTTTTATCTTCTTTTGCTGTTAATTCCCTAGCGATAGGTCCAGGATCTAAGCGATCTGGATATTTGACAACAGTTTCATAGATATACACTATCACACCGTCTCCTCCAAATGTTACAGTTAGATATTTCTACAATAGAACTAAATTCCAATTTCAAATATCATTGTTAAGTCACTTCTTCTATGTGAGTCACAAGAGGCATTTCCAACAGACAGCTGGAGATTTTTACCAACAGCTACTTTCACTGGCTGCATACTGGAAATCAGATAACCAGAAAGAATTAACAACAAGAAACTCTGGGAAAAAATCAATGGAGAGCCTATTGCTCAACAAATATTGTGAAGAAAATGGAAATGGATTGAATATTCGCCGAGGAAAGCTTCTGGTGACATCTCGTGCCAGGCCATTCCTCCAGTGGAACAACAACTGAGAAATAACGAGTTGGGTGTAGGTCCACGGTTCTGAAGATTCCATCTGTTTCTGGAACCATTTTGGAATATGCTCTGAAGCCCTTACTTGCAGAGATCGATGAGTCCTCTCTATGTATGTGTGTCCACACGTACATTCAAATTGGTAAATACAGTGGGTTGTGACGTCATTTTTCGCATGTCCGAAGGACAGAGATAGATATATTGGCTTTCCATTCTCTATTTACCAATTTGAATGTACGTGTGGGCACATACATAGGGGGGACTCATCGATCTCTACAAGTAAACGCTGGCTTCACAGCATATTCCTAAATGGCTCCAGAAACAAATGGTATCTATAGAACCTATTAATGGTGAGAAAAGGAGACCTAGCTCTTCTATTGCGAAACATATTATAGAGACAGGACATAAAATTGACGTTAACAGATCTTTTAAACCTATCTATAAAACGTGTTCGGGGCGTATCCTAAAGTTTGTGGAAGCCCTAGCAATTAGAAAGTTTAAACCGCTTTTATGCTTTCAAAAACAATTCATCATCATATTAAACCTTCTTTGGTAAATTTTGTTTTGATACCATTGCAGATGTACTATTACCTCTGCTATTTGGTTAAGTGGTCTTCATTGTTACTTTGACCTTGAATTTGTCCTTTTAACTTGACCTAAGTCTATTTTCTCACCTCTTACCTCTGTATTAATTTCATATATATTCCTATGACAAGTCCTTGTGTAATCAGATTGTTCGAAATGTGTTTCGCAAATACACAATACACAATTCAGACAAATTACGTCATCTTATTGCTTTATCTAAATTCATAAAGGGAACTAATTGTTTGAAATAATATTAATGTCTCTTTAATACTGGTAACATTGATCTGTTGACATAAGATCGTTTTCCGTTTCAGTAGCTACATCTTTCGCAATATGTTTGAATACCCAGTAGTTGTAATCATACAACATCTGAGTTAGTGACAGATGGGACCGAAATAATATAATCATCAACTTATCATCCTTGATGCTCGCTTACAAAAAAATATCACAATTGCTCGACTGAAGCATTCTGAAGTCATCAAACAAATTCTTCTACTTCCACAATTAATCCTAATTACATTCAAATACTGGAGTACTTCTTCAACACTAAAATGAACACGCATGTCCTCTAAACTAGGCATTTTAGTCGGGTCGAACACATTCACAGCGTCTGAAGATCATTGATACGTTCGCAGCTGTTAGATGTCCACAGATGAATTCCTCCAATTGATGAGTGCTTATAAGCACAACATTTACACACACACACACAAAATATGTAGACCGACTGTTCCTACCAAACAGTTTAACATGAAAATATATATATTATAAAAACTAACTTACCAATTTAGAAACTTCATTACGATATACATCACGAGCTGCAGTAGACTGTTCAGTTTTTCGTCTTTGTCTGTCTAATAATTCTTGTTTATGTATTAAATTATTCTTTAATATATCAATTTCATTTGTAGATATACGTAATTTTTCACCTAATTCTTGTATATGCTGATTAGCTATTTGTATTAAATTTAAACAATTATTACGTTCTTCTTTAATGGTATCATAGAGTTTAGCAAAGTCGTTTAACTTCCTCTTGAAATAAAATTTTAAAAATAACATGAAAAAACAATAAGATGTGATTATTTCAGTAAAATAAGTAGTGTATATTGTGTAATAAGGGTTAAAATTCCTAACCATGTAATAACTCCATTAATACGTGAATATTAGTGATTTTCTTCAAGCTTTCCTCAAAAGATGTATTCAGTGAATGTGATCTAGGATTGCAGGGTAAGTATTTGAATCCAGAGTGACGGGGTATTTTGAAAGGGCTGTAGTTTACTAATGTTGGGTTTTTTCTATGAGGCTAATGAAGGACAGGGTGGGATAAAGATGACTGATTAGTGTTCTTTGTTGTTGTGTCTACAGAAATTCGGCTTGTTGTACTCCTTATCCTTGTGTTAATCTCTTTTAAACTTTCAGAGGTAAGCTGTAATGATGTCTTTTAAAATAATACATATTGTATTAGTTGATGCGATTGACAGCTTCACTTATCGGAAAACTTTTCAGCAACACCAATGATTTCATGATCCTATTGAAGGCTCATTTGGCTAGAATCAGTATGCTATAATTGACACTGATGGTTCAGTGGTAGAATGCTGTCCAGCCACACTGGAGGTCCGACTCTGATCCTGGTCGACGTACTTGCCTGGAGCCAAAGGAAGGTTGGGCACGAAGCTCATAACTTCAACCAATAAAATTAAATACCGCCCCTACTGAAAGCCAGAAGCCTTGTGTTCCGCTTGGAATCAAAAGAGAGAAGAAAAATAGTCAGTAAGATATCGAGTTGATTAATGAAGCGATTAAGTGTGCAGAGCAAAACAGGGTCAAAAAAGGTTAAATATATGCTCAATTTACAAACATTTAACTACCATCCTCTTCTAAATACTAATAATTTACAGTGTAATTATAAGATGAGAAGTCTAACAATCAAGTGGAGAACTTTAAATATGACATAATTTGTCAACATAGTTAACCAATTCAATCAATGGAGGTGGTCAGGATAAGTATAACTTGTTTCATCCTATCAACTACATCACTGTACAGCTCTATCAATAATAAGATTCGATGTAGAAAAACCCAACAGTGTTTCAGCCAAAACATGAAAGAAATTTTTTTGGTCATTTTATGTGTGTATAAATGTTTATGTAATTTGTGTCGGGTTGGAAAAAGTATCTGCTATAGTTGCAAAATACCCAACATGGCATTATTATTATTACGCCTTTGGGTTCCGAGTGAGACACATAACTTCAGGAGTACATCGCCATTCCATTCTCTTCTCCGAAGTTCTTTTCAACTGGCCTCGAAGCCACCCATAAGCTTTCGTTTCCTCCTCACACGATCTACTCCATGTCACACTATGACCCACTTCATAATTTCGTGTTCCACTCGAAGGTCAACATGACATATGATGTCACTCAACGGTTTTTTCCGTGTCCACTCCATACTATTTTCACTTCACTCCGCATATTTTTGGAATGATAACTTCTTGATTAGATCGCTACTTGCCTGAGTTCTCTGATGCTAATCCCTTCTGTCCGGCCACTAGAGATCTTAAGTTTTCAGTAAAACCGACTGTTGACGAAAGTCTTCAGCCTACTGGAAGTATTTTTTATGCAAAGTCTCTGAATCACATTAGTACTGGAAGTCCATATTTTGTTTCTAATAGTGAGTGAAGCAGATTTCCACGCTGATTTCAGTCCTACAAAAGTCTGTCCTGCTTTTCTGATATTTTCTTTCATATCTGCCTTCACCTTGGCAACCACCTGTAGTTGAAACAATATTATCTGGGTAAATGAAGTAAGTGCCTTCCTTCAAATTCCTCCTGCTGATAGCTATTGGTACATGTTGTTATTTAGTTGGATATCTTCACTATGTCTGTCTCCTCTATGTTTACTTGAAGTCCTTTCCTCACTGCCAGACTCTTTAGCCAACCAACTCGTTTTTTTGCCTGGAAGTCTTTGAGTCTATGTAACATTCCAAATCTTTTCGAGTCTTCTTGTCAGTCCAACGTAGGTCTATCTTCTTGCTCATAGTCAAGATGGATAGATATCTTGCCTTTTTTCAAATATATTCCTCATTTGTCCTTCTTTCTGGTGTCGTATGCTGCTTTAAAACATTCGATTTTATTACATTTCTCTAGCCTTCTTTTAATTCTTTTCAAACATTTTATTTGAGGACATAAGTTTTGTAAGCTTGAATGAATATCCTTAAAATGTTTATTCTTGTGTTGATCATGTCTACTTGTTTAGGAAAACCTATCATTTGTTATGTGGTTCCCAAGTATATATGTGAATAGAAAATACAAACTAATTTAGTAGTATATAATTAATATTGTTTTCAGTGGTTTGATCTGCATTTCGATACACATATTTCAATATATGCCATAAAATTGGAAGGCTTACCTAGAGTTCAAACCAAAGAATGTTTCCATAGAATGTTCCGAGTGGAACATGGGCCTTCAAAGCACATTTCCACTTTGTTCTTTTCTCTAAAGCCTTCTGTAGATGACTATAAGATTATCAATAGACTTCCATCTCCTCCATGTCACCATCAGACCTACTCTCCACTCATCGTGGCTCATTCGACGTTCACTTAAGGGTCTGCCTAACGCGTGATGTCACTCGATGACCTCCTCAGAGTGTGTCCCCAACCATCTCTAATACATAATACGTACTAAATTAAAAATACTGTGTAGAAACCTTTAGAATTTCTAACGTTCACTAACGAATTATGTTTACCCTCTAAGTCACAAATTGACATCAGTCAAACAATTTCGGCCATTGAAAACTTCATCTATTGCCTACGCAGAGATCTACTATCTATCGATAAGAAAGTTATCAGTACAATTTGATATTACAGGTGTACTGAAAAAGCATTCAGTTTTCAAAGTTATTTAAGAATGAATAGTATACTAAGCCTCTAGATACATCCTTGCAAATCCAACAGTCTGAATTATAGTCACCATCTCATTGATGCCTACAAAGGAGAAGTCCTGACCACTGAGGTCCACCGTGTCAAAATAAAGTGAATTCTTATCGAAGGCATTGATTAAGAGTAACACTATACCTCTAGTTGACAAAGAGTCGTTAAATTCCACAGGTCCAAGTAGCTGAATGTTCAAAGAGCTTGGTCTCGTAGCCCGAAAGTCCCAGGTCCGATCCCTGGTGGAGTCTTGGGTTCATACTGATGAAGAGTCCTAGAATAAAGCGAAACAACCGCTCAGTTCTCCCTGGTTTTCTGGGATATCTCTAACTGATGTTATTTGATGATGGAAATACAAGCTTTGAAATTTATGAAGAAGGTTGAAAAATATGTGCATATTACATACTGAAAATATTTGTTTCAATAATAAACGATTACCTGTGTACTATTTAATGATTTTTCATATTCATGTATTTGTAATTGTTTTGATTTAATATCATCCTGTATACGTAGATAACGTGATTGAGCAGTTAAAAAATCTCGGGACTTCTGTTCTCTTTCATCTGATTTAATAGTTGTAAGACGAGTTAATTCTACCAGTTCAATACGTAAATTAGCTAAATCATAATTCATTTGATCAACTTGTTGTAAATGTTGACGAAGTTTAGATTGTTCCAGTTCAGTAAGTTGACACTGTGAATGAATAGAAAATAAATTTTGAAGGTAAACATTAACCTAAATCTTACTTTGTCTGTAGTTCATTGATGGTTACTGGATGGATTTCGTGAAACTGTAGTGAGACTTCTTTACCATTGGAGCTCATCATGTCAAAAAGGCGAAGTGGATACTCATCGAAGGCACTAACTGGGAGTAGCACAATATGACGAGTTGACAAAATTAGAGTTCACGGAAAATGCCCATCCAGACATGAATATAAGAACAAAACGTTCACCGAAGAGTCTCTTTTCGGTGAATTCATTCACTTAGCTGTACAATCACATTTATATACATTTATTTCTTGTGTGTGTGTGTGTGTAAATTACTTCTTCATGTGGAGCGAGATATATAGGTCGGACGATGCGTGTTTCATCTAAAGAGTCAAAGAATATTATGCCGCTTGGCTACGAAAAGGTAATAGTGGATCAATAAGGTGTGCTAAAATTGAACCTATAGTCAACACTGGTCACTCAACATGTGTAAGGAGAATTCATTCAAAGTCATCTACGAAGTCAAAAGAAGCCTCCCGAAAATGGTAAGCTTCCATATACTTTGCATTGCTTGTGGCTTAGCGATCTGGATGGAAAACCCTGATTTATATACACAGAAGAAACTTCTTCATCCCTTCCTTCTACCTTGGGTATAATTCCAGGTTCTACTACTTTGTTAATAGTGTTGTGTTTTTTTTGAATTTTTGTAAGATATCTTAGTACCATCTTGTTAACCAACCCTTTATTTACTCTTTCTACACATTACATAATTTATTTTGGACACTTGTTCCCATGCCCTTTCATAAACATCCTATTTTTCTGTGTGTCTTTCATATTACGCAACCCTCGTCAATACTTACCAACCTTCATCACCCCCTAGTTACAATTTGATTATGAATCACATCTTTTGAAACACTATTTGTTTGACAATCCTAATGTACACACACACACAAAATAATTACGTATAAATGCGATTGTACAGCTAAGTGAATGAATTCGCTGAAAAGTTAGAGTTCACCGGTTATTGAATTCCACCGGCCAAAGTGGCTGAATGCTCATCAACCAGCTTGATTTCGTAACCTCTGGTTCGTCTTTGGTTCGATCCCTGGATGTGAGATCGTGGACGTGCACTGTTGAACAATCTCAAAGTAGGAAAAACACAGCTGTCTAATTCTCCATGGTTTTCAGGAATGTCTCTAACTGATGTTTGGTACATGAAATCTAACAATTAAAATCAAAATGTAGTATTTGTTTGTTTATTTGTTTCTCAGTTTATTATTATACGATATGCCAGCAGTCATTGATTTCTTACAGGATTTCATCATGAGCTGACATCAGTTACAGAACCATTGGAAAACCAGCTGAGAGTACTGGACAGCTGTTTCGTTGGCCTAGTTTGGAACTCCTCATCAGTACGCACCCACTGGGGTTCAAACCCAGGACCAAGGCGAGCTCATAGACCATTAAGCCACCGGGACCTGATCCAGTGGCCCATGAATTCCAACTGAATATCAATGAGATGCTCACTAGCTACTGGACCTATTCAAGTAGGTAGTTACCTGGGGTTCCAGTGGGGTGCAGCAGGTCGGGTATGAGGACAAATACTCGCCGAAGACACTGGCCAGCGGTCGCGCTATGTCACGAATTGGCAGAAGTTGGAATTCATGGACTGGCCATTAGATCAGCGGGTCCCAGTGGCTTTATGATCTATGGGCTAGCTCGTCTTGTAACCAGAAGGTCCTGGGTTTGAACCCTATCGTTGTGTTCCTACTGATGAAGAGTCCCAAAGTAGGACGGAGGAAACAGCTGTCCAGTACTCCCAGGTTTTCAAACAGTTCTCTAATTGATGTAACCAATCAATCAAATCCCAACAAACCATTACCTGAGTAATTGATTTACTTGTCTCTGAGGTTCTACTTTGATCTGTTTGATTATTTGTTTTGCCATTTTTCCATAAATGAAGCTTACTTATCACGTTTTACTAATGAACTGTGTTTTAGATGATTACCAAGTACAATTTGTAAGCTTTCTACTGATTTAATGATACATAGAAAAAATGTATTCAGCTTAATTTTTTTAATTCAACTTACTTGATTAAGTAATTGTTCTTTAAGTTTTTTTATCTCATGATTTAAATATGTCCGTTGTTTTAACAATTCATTATCTTGTCCAGTTTGTTTCATAGCTAAACAATTCATATGTTTTTCAGCACATGATTTCATTGTAAATTTAACAGATTCTTTCAATGATTGTAATATATTATCAGCTTTACGTGCTTTGCGTATAAGTACTTCACGTATACGTGTTTGACGATTAATACGATCAGTTAGTTGTACAAGCTCTTGTTTTAAATGATCCATTTTCAGATCAGCTTCAGTTCTATAAAATGGATCAAAAAGAGAAGTAGATGAAGAAGAATAGACACATCAAATAGAGTTTTCGACTATAATATTCTTGATGAACAAAAAGCATTATTATTATTATTGTTCCCTTGGGTTCCGAGTGGAAAATAGCGCTTCAACAACACATCTTCACCTTATCCTGTTCCCTGTCTTCCTCTTTAGTTGTCTCTGATCTCCTCCTCACACGGTCTCCCTGAATGTCACCCTCGGAATCAAACCCAACTCGTCATTTCCTATTCAGGTTCCACTCAAGGTCCAGTCTAGCACACGATGTCATCCAACGGTCTCCTCAATGTGTGCCCTATCCATCTCCGTTTCCTCCTACATATTTGTTGAACAGTCGGCTCTTGGTTGGTTCGTTCCGAGTGTTTCTTATTGCTAATTTTTTTGGCTGACTTTTCGTGAAAGTGCACTGCAAGTTTCTGACCCATATAGAAGAAATGACTTGACTTTGGTGTTGAAAACTAGAATTTTGTTCTTTAGTGCTGAGTGTGGAAGATTTCCAAACCGATTTCAGATTAGTAAGGGTGTACCTTACCTTTCCGATTCTGGCCGTCTCTGACATCTTCATCCATTCCGCCGGCCAGTCGTTGAAAGCGTGCTTCCTAGATAAGTGAAGGAAGTGACCTCTTTCAAGTTTCTTTCGTTGGTAGTGATTGGTGCTGTTTGTTGCTGCTGTTTGTTGCTGCTGTTCGTTGGTTATCTTCATCACTTCTGTCTTTTCTATGTTCACATTGAGTCCTGTCTTCTGTGCGTCCTTCTCCTGTCAGTTTGTTGATTTTCCCCTGAAAGTCTTTGAGTTAGTTTGACATTATACATAAGTCATCTGTGAAATTCAGATCTTCCAAAGTATACTTATCGGTGCAGCGTATTCTTGTCTTCTCAATGACCGCCTCACATTACAACGACCTAACTAGGGTTTCGGGTAAGTTGTTGCTTCAAAAGAAGAATGTTCACTAAGAGATTGTTAGCGATTCAGGTTGGATTCCTGGCCGACGTACACTTAAACCTCGTTTGACCGATAGTAAACCCAGTAAAATGGGAAAAGTGTGGACGTCAGGCTAGTAATTCCCCTCCCCCACAATTATAGAAACAACAATATCACGTCTAATGAAACTTCAAAGTTGAAATTCGGAAGCCTTAGGTTCCACTTAGAAAGCAAAGGAATGAAAAAACAAAAACAAACAAGGGTTTAGCTAATCATTTCATTTGCAGGTTAATTTTATTTTCTAATTGTTCACAAACATTTCTATTCACTATAATAATAAGATAATTAGAGACATTCAATTGTTAATCCAATTAGGTCATAAGGAAATATAATGAAAGTTTTTTTTCAAATGGCGTTCAAAAGACTTCTATTTGCACCTTAAGATCTTTTGAATATATTTATTCAGAGAATAAAATATCATCCTTTATGGTTTAGCAATGGATGGACAAGTTCTATTTGTGTCTTTCTTTTAGCTCTCTCTCTCTTTGTAGATACTTAATATGAAGTCGATGTTAACAAAGGCATTCGAAGTTATCGACCGTATTCTATTATTATTTCCTTGGGTTCCGAGTGGAACATAGAGGTTCAACAACACATCCCTACTTTGTCCTATCTTCTGCCATCCTCTTCAGCTTGGACCACGATCGCCCACAATCTCTCATCTCCTCCTCACACGATCTCCTACATGTCACCCTCGCACCGGTGACCCACTCGTCGCTTCCCACTGGGATTCTACTCGAGCATTGGCGCAAAACGCAATGTCATTCGACGGCCTCCTCAATGTGTGCCAGATCCATCTCCATTTTCTCCTACATATTTGTTGAGCGATCGGCTCTTGGTCGGTCTGTTACTTATTCTTTCTAGCGTATTCTTACTAATCTTAATTTTCTCTTACGAATTCATCTTTTACATACACAGCTGAAGCAGTTGCAGTTCACCTGAAGTATCCTAACCTATGTCTTCAGAAAATGTTTCTTCAAAGGCCCTCCCTATCTCGGCAATCACTAATTGATTGTAAAAGACTGACAATTTCTCCTTTTCCATAAGCCTTTTACAAGTTGTTATTATTTATTTTTTTAACTATATTATATTGTCGAATGAATATTTTTCTTATCTTTATCTGATATTCATGTTATCACACGCGTCCTTTTGAACTGTAATTCTATTGATTTTAACAAAAAACCTTAGTGTCTTCAATAAAAAATACTCTTCAGATTATACATATATAACAGGGCAACTGATCCAATCGCTAGCCCATGAATTCTAATTTCTAAAAATTCATGATTTTAGTGCGACCAACAGCCAGTGTCATCGGCGAGTATTTGACCTCAAGCCCAACCGGTGAGTGTGTACTACTAATGAGTCCCAAACTAGAACCAAATGGCTGTCCAGTACTCCCTAGATTCCAGTGCTTCTCTAACTGATGTCGACCCGTGATCAAACTTGAAATTAGTCGAATCTCTAAAAACTATCTTTTGAAGATTTGTACACCTATTGAATAAACGAAACTATAATTTACTTCGCGTGCGTCAGTGGTATAGCAGTTAGGATGCTCGCCGACCATGCACATGGTCCGGGGTTCGATCCCCGGCCACTGACGCACTCCTTTACCTCGCTGAGCCAGAAATAATGCTGGTGAAGATGAAAGGTTAGGCATGAGGCTAGCAACCCCATCCTGTAAAAATAAACACCACTGCTACAGAAACTTCAAGTCACTAGCTTGAAGCCCTATGTTCCACTGGGGAACGTGAAGGAAAAAAATAATAATGATTACTTCTGTAGAGACATTTCAGTATTCTTTTGTTCCAATTCACGAATGTGCATATTAACAGCTTCATACTGTGATTGTAAATCATTGAGCTTTTTCTGTCTTTTAGCTGACTGACTAAAAGGATAAATAGAAAGAAAGAAAGAAAAAATCACTTGTGAATTGTACTCACTAAATTTAGTATCATTATTCCTAAACATAATGTAATAATATTTATATATGTATATAATGTGGTGAGTCGTTGGTTCAGTGGTACAACACTCAACAGTCACGCACGTGCTCTGCATTCGACTCTCGGCCAACAAACTCATTGACCCCTCTGTAATGGAATAACTGTTTGGAAAATCCCTCCTCTTGGACGATCTTATTGCAATATATTCATACTTATTTGGATGTTTCTTCTTAAGTTACTAGCCGTTTTCATCCTAAACGGTATACTATTGTCATGATACTTGCATAGCATATGCTGACTTTATCATTATTATTTGTCTTTGTTGCTATTTATTCCCTAAGTTTAATGCTTCTTTTTGTGATTCTGTGATGATACAGATAATGTGTTGTTTTACGACTGCCATTCTTATATTGGACTATCTTCAAGAAGTATTTGGTGAGTGGTTCTTGTCGACACAGTTTGATCTGAACTTCAACAGTACGTCTCCACTTTACCTTATTTTTCTGCAGTCTTCTTAAGCTGAACCATAAACTTTTATCTCCTCCATGTTGCCGTCGGATCTATGCCCAACTCATCATTCCACATTCAGGTTCTACCCTATTACTGGCCTAGTGAGTGATGTCACCAAACGGTCTCAGTGTGTGTATAATCCATCTCCACTTTCTGTGGGATATTTTTTGAGCGGTAAGTTCCTCGTTGGCTCGTTACCACAGTTCCCTCTTGCTAATTCTTTCTAGTCAGGCTGTCTAGTACTCCCTAGTTTAAATTCTAATACTCATTAGTGACTGAATATAGGATTAAGTTGCCTTAAGTTCTAGTGGAAAGCCGTGACCAGTCAGGCCCACAAAGTTGAGTGTGAAGATAGATACTAACCGATGACATTGGCTGATGTCTGGACTACTGTTCTGTACGATGATGGACTAGACTGGCTACTGCGTCAACACCACGTCTATGTGCAGCATCGAAGTCTCCATTTCAATCCAACGTTTTTGCAAAATATAAAACTGGCGATACGAATTTCGGATTCTTCGATGTTGGACAAATTTTTTGAACAGCTAATTTAGTCCAGTCTGGACACCAGTTTGTTCCTGAAATCAATGCAGCCCGATAGACCTATTGAAATCTTTGCATCAGCCTCTGGTCAATCAGCCCCTGTTCCTACCTTGATTGTCCAATGTCCCAGTTATTCACGCAATAACATTCAACGCCTAAAGATGGAGCCTCCGCCATCCTGCTGCTATTGTGGTGTTTAGCATTTCGTAAAATCTTGTTCTCATAAGCAACGCAGATGCCAAGACTGCAGCAATGTTGGATAAAAAGACGGTTTCTGGCAGCAACACACACAACGACACTCACAAAGACCATCCTCGACAAATCGCCGCAGACACCGTTCTCACTCAGCACCTGACCTCCAAAAATTCGTCAATATCCGGACCCTACGTCCCCAAGATATCGCTGTGCCTGCTTCCCCACCAAAGAGACCTGTACCATGTGCTTTATTACCACAACTTAACACCGAACTCTGTCACCTCCAACAAAAAGATATTCTCAAGCGTGCTACAGCTTCTCACTCACTGATGTCAAGGAGGCTATAGGCTACACATGAAACTTTGATATCTAAGCTGCCTGCAGCGAAGTATTCAGACGCCCAAGATTCTTTTGACGCTAAATCATAACATAAAAACAAACTAAGACGGCTTTTATCTCCCAATAAAAAGACAGGACCCATGGGTTTCCCACCGGATATATTTACTGGGCACCGGGCTAAAACATACGAATGATGCCATGAATGCTCCAGACTTCCCAGCAAACAACATACCATTTCCCCGAAGCCGATTAGCCAGGTGTAGAAGAAAGACGATGCAGTCCCAAAACGACGCCAAGTAATACGTCTCTACTGAAATGGAAGATGACATAAGGGTACTGTCTCTCTTTCCCTCACTCATATGTCACTGGCTGTATGTTCATATGTCATTGTCTTCATTTTGTAAAGATATGGATACTGAAGTAGAAGTATACTTTCCATTTCACGTCATTGTATGCTCTCGCCTAAGTAGAGCGGCCTGGGGAAATCAAGTAGATGCCGTGTAGTGTTGTATACAGTGATGAAACAGCCTACCGTCCATATTCAGCACAGTGTCGCTATTCAACTTAACGTTTTGTGCTAAATATAAAACCTATATGTCACAGATTCACGGAAGTTAGAAACAATAGGCCATTGCATTTCACCCCGGTAGCTGAATGGTTAACGTGCTCACCTCGTCACCTGAAGGTCCTAAGTGCGCACTGCGAAAAACTCCCAAACTATGATGAAACACCTGTCCAGTATCGCCTGCTAGTTTCGAGTAGTCCTCTAACTGATCAAACTTAATCAGATCAATCCAGTTCCTGAAAACGAACATTTTAAATTTTTTCAATAGTAATTGTTCATTGTGAAGAAGAAATGCTGTTCTGTTTCTCTTTTTTTCGTCACTGTCAAAAACAAACTTTTTTCTAAACTCACTTTTGTAATTTAACACTTTCAAGTTGAAGTTGTAAACGAAGTGTTTCCAGTGATTTCATTTCATCTTGTAATTTCGTTTGTTCACTTAATGATTCATATTTAAGACGTTCTACTTCACTATAGAAAATTAAATTTATATGCAAAAAGAATTAATTAACTTTTGAGTGAAAATAACATGAAATACACGAAATTATGTTATGTTAGAATACATTGTAATTTTCAGTATTTAAACTAGTTATTAATGAAGTATCAGGTAAGAAGGACATATTGTGATTCGCAATCGATCAAGATTGCCTGGAAATGTATTTTTTATACATCAAGCCATCAGCTTCCTTGACACATTAAACCATACATGGTAAACTTTGTTTTGATACCACTGAAGGTATAATATAATCCCCGTACTTCGGTATATTGACTTCCATTATTACTCTGAGCCTCAATATAGCCTTCAAATTTGACCTATGTCTATTCTGTCACCCCTTAACATTTTATTATTTTCAAATATCACTTAGAGAAACACTAGAAACCAAGGAGTCGGATCTCAGTAGTGGAATGGTCGACGAACTAGCCTTATAACCAGAATATAGTCGGATTTAAACATTAGTGGGTGTGTACTTCTACGAATGAATCCCAAACCAAAACTAAACAACTGTCCAGTACTCCCTGGTTTTCCAATGGTTCTCCAACTAGTATCGATCCTTGATCAAATCTGAAAACAAAAGCAAATCCCTACAAACCAACTATTAAACATTTTCATATATACTCCTATGACAAGCACGTCTGTGCTCAGATTGTTTGAAATGTGTCGCTCAAAGACAATATTGCACGATTCAGATAAATTTCGTCTTCTTATTGTTTTGCTGAAATTCACAAAAGGAATTAATTGTTTTAAATTTTTGTTAATGAACGATAGGATAATAAATAATGTCACTTATAGAAATTCAAAACAAGTGATTCAGTGAACAGACTGCCTTTTTTATTTATTATCAAGCTGTACAATCGTGTATACATATACGGTTTTTAAGAAATTATATCCAGTAAGGGAATTGAATCATAGGTGTGAATACATGGGACAGTAATAATAGTATGAACGAACTTTTTCTGCACACAGAGATCTGAATTTTCTGTGCGTTTATCAATTCACCTGCTCGTGTGAAGCTAGGTATGTCGGTCGTTCAACTCAAGTTTTGTCCAAGATGGTGCAAGAACACTATCCTGCATAGTGGTTACGAAGAGGTGGAAGTGGAGCAATAAGAAGCACGATCATTGAACATTTGTTCACGCTATCTCTACAGCCTCCGACTTTAAAATCATCTATAGGGCAAAGAGTAATTTGCTCAAATCACTACGTATCCGACTAATCTGTATTGCTGAAGCTTTGGCTATCGAAATAGAGGAGTCAGATCTCTGTATACAGACAAAGTTCGTTCAACCTCTCCAACTTTCATGGTCTTAATCCCTCTATGCTGAAGTATGGTAATCCCTATTCACATTTGGGATCTACCAATTTTTCATTTTTCATTTTGTCTATTCAATTTGTATTCTCTCCCTTATTACGTCAATTGTTACTATAACTATTCTCACTTTGAATTGTCTCTGGCATTATTTCACTCGTTCCACTTGTCATTCTAAATCAATTTTGTTCTGCAACGTTAAATTCTGTCTTCAAATTTCACACAATATTACGTAACGTGTTTATTTTTATTCTACTCCCCTACTAAGTCTATAATTGCACGCCCCTTTCGAGTTCTATCCATCCTATGAATTATTCTATGTATGACATTAATTATTTTGCCACTTGACATTGAACTGTGATTATAATCACAAACATTTTAATTGCATTTGATACTGCTATTATTATTATTCCATGTATTCACACCTATGATTCAATTCCCTTACTGGATATAATTTCTTAAAAACCGTATACGTATGCACAATTGTTCAGCTTGATAATAAATTTGTTGGAAAGGCAGTCTGTTCACTGAATCAGTTGTTTCGATTTTCTATATGTCCCAATGGGAATTTTCCATGAATTAACGCCACTTACTCTATTTGTTTTTGTAATTTATCACTCTCCTTCAACAGTTGTAAAGGTTGTGATTGAATTTCAGAACTCTCTAACTGAAAAGAAAAATTTATATATAAAATTTATTAAATAAAATTTCACTGAGTAACTACTTCTTTTGAATGTTTCAACCACTCGGCTCTCTAATTTTCCATCCATCGACAAAAATATTTTACTTATTCTAATTCATGTTCTTGCTTTTTAAAATTCAGTTACATCTATTAAGTTGTAATTCGTTCACACACAAATTTTCAAATAAATAAAGTTTGTATTATTATTATTATTATTACTAGAAAATAATACGACAGTGCTATTACGAGTATACAAGAAAATCCTAAAATACACCACGAACAGGATTAATCACGAGCTGAGATTATTTAGGGGACCATTGGAAAGCCAGGGAGTAGTATTTGAACAGATGTTTCGTCCTAGTTTTGGACTCTTCACCAATACCCTCTCTTGGAGTTCGAACACACGGTCTTCTGGTTACAAGGTGGGTTCTTCGACAACCATTCAGCCACCGGTATCCGGTTTAACGGTCCATGAATTTCAGCTGAATGGTCTACTACCTTGCGTTGTAACTGGATGAGGACTGATGAAGAGTCCGAAACTAGGACGAAGCAGCTGTCCAATATTCCACGGCTTTCTAACTGATGACAGCCTGGTATCAAAAACCTACGTTCAATCAAATACAGGCATACTAACACTTGATATTATTATAAACAATGAGTGGTAATATTCTCACAGATTATATTAACCTTTGTCTAATTTTACAATTCGTGGTCAAAAGCCACTGTGATTTCATTTTAAACTGATCTGAACTGATTCACCTGTTTGTATTTCAGTTTAAACGTGTACTTTTACGAAATACAAAAGTTGATATTCATTTTTCTCTAGAAGAATGTATGAAATTGTTATTCATTTAATCCCCATAAGTTCCTAGATCGAAGTTTTTCTCTTCCACAGATCTCTTTCAGGTTCATCAAATCTACTTTAATAGATTTTGGACCGTATTATCTAAAGGTTTTACAGCGAAATAAAAATAAACTATGTCCACGCTTCCATAAAAAGGATATTGAAATAGTTCACATTTCATTCCAGTCACTATTTGGTTTCCGTTTAACCTCAAACAGTTTCAGTTGCTTGTTATTATAATTCATTGCTTGAGTTCTGATTGAAGTACAGGGTCTTCAAGACACATCTCCATTGTACTCAGTTGTCTACCATCAAATTCAGCAGGCTTTACAATTCCCAACTGGTTTTGATTTCCTGCTCACATGATCTCCACTCCATATCATCATCAGATGTTCTATTCGTCGCTTTCCATGCGGGTTACACTTGTGGGTCGTCGTAATGGCTTATGATGTCACTTGAATGTCTCCTCCGTGCATGCTCAACCGACTTTTGTTGCCTTCTAAAGATTTATCGGATAATATATTATCGGCTGACGCGCTGAACTTTTAGACTTCTTTGTCTCTTATTCTTTCCAGTTGACTATATCTGATCTTCTCTATTGAATGAAGGCAATTTTCGCTAATAACAGTTCGAAATGCCTTTGGTAATACTTTCATTGAGTCTCTGTATGAACCATTTAGAAGCACTGATTAACTCGACATCAATGTTTAAAGTTTGAATCTTGTTCATTGTGGTCAATGTGTAGCAGATCTATGTAACACTAGATCTCAGAGGAATGAAAGCCTGTAACGCTTTCTCGATTTGATCCTGAGCTTAGCAATCTCATCCATGACACCTGTTGTTGTTGTATTTGAAATAATTCATCTTTCTAAAAGTCTTAACTAACATACAGCATAGAACTAGACAGTAGATAACAAATTCTAGTAAAGCTATAAGAGATACCAATTAAACAGAGAAACTGATATATATTATTAAAACAATTAGTCCCTTTGATAAATTTGAATAAGGCATTTAGAAGACAAATTTCGCGAGATGATATCATTTCGTAGTTTCTTTACAGCCGCTTTACAACTAGCATGGTTTTTCTCACTTGCCGAACATTTTCTATCCCTGTATCTACGATTAAAGGACAAAGTTCTGTGGACTCTACTTCAAACTGTATCTACAAGTTCACCTGCAGCTGCGGTGACACCTATATAGGTAGAACCAACTGAATGTTCCAATGTCGTCGGAAAGAACACGTTCCAAAATGGCTACAAAATCATTTAGAAAATCCCAATGCCAGTAATCTGAGTAGAAATCCAGCATCATCCATTGCAAAACACTTATTAATGTCACGTCACAAAATCAATATTAATGACTGTTTCACAATTATTTCACATAACCCTAATTCAAGGTTATTGAAGGTGATGGAAGCACTTTTGGGGATTGATCGCATACAGCCTAAACTGTGTGTACAAAAAACAATAGACTTCAATCTTCGCCTACCATGGACTACATGACCTATCTAAATATGATTGGTAATTAGTATGTACTTTTGTGTTTTTTATTTAACTGAGTAATTGTCATGAACTGAATTTTATTATTGTTAACCATGTTAGTTGTAAAGCGATTGTAAAGAAACTACGAAATGATATCATCTCGCAAAATTTGTCTTCGAAATGCCTTATTCAAATTGATATATAAGTAAAACATTTCTTCCTGAAGAAATTTTTCCTTTTAAGAAAAAATTATATAAAAATAAGCATTTTATAAAAGTTTTTGTTTTTCCCAATGAATGAAAAACAAGAGACGATATTGTTGTCTTTACTGACGTTTCGCTATTTAATGCTGTTAACAGCTTTATCAAAGTGTTATTAAACCAAAATTTATAAAATCTCAGCTTATATATAACAACTTTATCATCGTTCCTCAGCATGGGGTCATTTTAACGTTGTCGAATTGGCCAACTGCTGAAGATAACAAAACCAGGTGTAGATTGTTGGATTTGATGAGTGTATAAAATTATAAAAGCAACATGTGTTTACATAATGAAATTGCTTATTACATTCGTGTTGATTTTGTCACTTCATGGGAGAGGGAGGTGTTGTAACCAGGTCAGATTCTGTTTTAGTCCACCATTCCTATTCATGAGACAATTTGGATTTCATTTGATATGAAGTGCTTCTGATGATGTTAGACGTTCTTTGTGATTTCTGAAATGCTTTTTCTGGATTATTATTTCAATATTGTCAAAATCAATTTCGTGGCCTCATTCTATAGCGTGTAAACGACCTATGGCTGACGATTTTTCATGCTTTCCTAGTTCACTAACTGGATTTCTCGGTGGTCGAACAGATGCTCTACGGTGTTCATTTCTTCTGATTATGGTTTCTCGCTATGTTACTCCAGTGTATATCGCATCACATTCCAAGCAGGTATTTTATTTTATAGACACAATTAGATCGGGAATCTTTAGGGATTTGGTCTTTTATATGGACAAGGTTGCTTCGCAGTGTGTCTGATGTTTTGAAGAAAACTCTGATGTACTGTGCTTATTTAGTACTCTTCTGATATCGTTCGACGTTTCTCATCTATATGGAATAACAACTGTAGAGGTCCATGCCTTCGGAATACGTTTTCGAACGTACTTAATGTCAGTGTTGATTTTGTTGATGAAATTCTATGGATAGTTATTTTGCTTGAGAGCCTCAGTAATGTTTGATATTTCTTCTTCTTTTTCTTTCTCAGTCGTTAACATCAAAGAGTGTGTTCATTTAAGAAGACTATAAACAACTGGTAACTTTACTCTGATGGGGTGTGATGATCCTGAATACAGATACATTAAAATATCCATTTTCCTTCCTCTTAACTAGCCGGGCAGTCCAGCAACGGTACTTCACTGATATCTGATTCTACTTCCAAAGAAAACTCGGATGCTTGGAGATAGATTATTCCCTTTTCTCCAAGAATGAATCGTGTAGATCTCGCCTTACCACAAAAAAGTGCCATCAGTGTATATTTTAGACGAGAGTATGCTTGAAAAGATGCTATTTTCGAATCTATACATAAAAAGATCAGCGACTATTGGGAAAACACTGATGAAACTGTTAAAAATGAACTTGGTTTGGACTTATAAATATATATAAGATTCAAGTCTAACCTTTAAATTTTCGCATTGTTCTTCTGTATCCGTTTTCATTTTGACAATTTGTGTCAGCATATCTTTAGTGTCTTTTAATGTTTGCATTAAATGTCGACTTTCTGTGCTACTTTTATTCACTTCTGTTTTAATTTCATTCACAGATTTCTCTAGCTGTTTACGTTGATCTTCAAAATCCTTTAATTTAAAAAATAATAAATAAATGAATAGGGCGTTTAATTATGACTAACTGTCAAAAATGTGGATACTTCAATATACTTTATAAATATGAAACATGTTTAGTGAAAGCAAGCGCGATAATATTGCACAGTTTTAACCCCCGAACGTATTCCTAAGCAATATAGGAGAACTACTTGGTGAATAGTACGAAGATTACACTTACAATATTATTTTGTGGTGTGTGCTACTGACAAGATTTATCAGTAGTATACGAAGAGATATTCATCTGGTCAATAGCGGAGAAATAGATATGACCTCTAAGAGAGGAAATGAACCAATATTACGGCAAAACATGAGAATCACAACACGAAGTACACAGAAGTAGCAAAACACGGAAGATCTGTGCAAATGACGATTTTAATATAAGTGATATATAGACTGAATTTTCTACATTTCATTTTTACATGTCTGTTTGTACTTCTCTCAACACACTTATTGATTTATAACTTGACTTTCTCTCACTCTACTTATGACCTTTGCAATCCTATTGGCTGTTCGCTGTCCTAATTTATCAGTGATATTAGTGCTTCTCAAGGGCATCTTAAACATAAATACATATGCAAGCGCTGTCAACCTTTTTTGACTGTTGTTCTAAAACAGTTAAAAGCTCTCCTGCCAACGTCCAGTTTTCTCTTCTGTCTTTGCGGCCCCGTAGTGCTATTGTTGTTGTTGACGTGCGACTAGGACAGATTAGCTAGTGCATTAAGTTAGTATTCGCTCATAGTCCACTAGGTCGTAGTTCCGGTCATAACAATAAGCTATACATCATTTCCCTATATGTGTATATCATATTGCAAATAGTGCATCAGTTATCACTTCTTTCGTGTTATTCTGTTAAAAGTTGATAAGACCTTTGAATCTTTACTGACTATGTTGACAAGAAAGTATTCAATTTTGAAAATACTCAACTTAATTTATAGGTAAATTGTCAACTGAAGTAATATTATTTTTGTAAACCAGTTAGTGAAGGTTAAATCAGCACATGCCACCACATGATAACATACAGGAATGCATACGTCGTCTGTCTGAACCTCTGACGGATAAATATTTGACTGACTGACTGACATTCAACGCAGAACTCTGAACAGCAGTGAAGCAGTTCAACTTGCTACGCTTCATATACCACACGAAGGTTGACAAAAGAGATAAAAAATAGATTGGAAAGAACAATAATAAGGAGAAATGTGTGGAAGAAAGAATACTAACATGGAAAAACATGACTGTTTAATGATGTGAGAGGTCACATAACGTGAATACATGTGTGCCACTGAAGTCAATTTTGAGCCATATCAACAATTGTCTCAAATTATTGCTTCGTGGCATTCCAAGAGACCTCAACCAGATAGTCTACACCCCATCCTGACAAAGACTTCATGGAGTGGTGACAGGTTTTGGTTCGACCACCTTCAGCTGTTTTCCAACCTGATCCTATCCAGGAAGACGATGGCTAGGCAAGTGTGGCACATGTCGTTGCAATCTCTAGCGACTCACCTTTATAATCTCATCGACTCACCTTCCCTCCTTACCTTGACACCTAACCTCAATATTGCTTATCACATAATAAACATAAACGATGTGGTCGAAGACACCTAATCTTTTCGCATTTTCTACTTTCATTGTCCGCGTCTCACTCACAGCCATAATTGAGGACGGAGGGAACTGCTGAGCAGTACATCCATCCTTTGATCGATAGCCAGATATCAAGTCTACGGCCAGAAATGACGTAAGTTGTCAAATGCCACGCGAGCCTTTTGTTTCCATGCTGAAATTTCATCAGTAATCAACCTCTTGGGGCTGATTCAACTTCTTGAATAAGTAAAGTGGTCAACACACTCAACCACTTCACTTCTCATCCTTAAACGAGGAGTCGGTGCTGTCCAGTCTTGCAGTATCGTCTTACATTTGGAAGAAAAATATCAAAATTTCTGTTCAAAGTATTCAGAAGACTCTGCATTTTATCAGCGTCTTCACTCAGGAGGATAATAACAGTCGCATTATCTAAGTCAACAAGTCTGTACCCTGGTAACAAGTCAATCCCTAAGTCGCTAAAGTCAGTCAGGATCAGTTATATCAATACATCTCTGATAAAATTAAACAAAATTGGAGACAAATGGAATCCCTGACGGATACGCTGACACTTAACTATCTTAGAAATTGAAAACAATTCTACCAATCCTCGTGTCATGTGGTTCTGTATTTGTTAGACTCCTTATTTTCATTATATTTCAATGTTTGGCAACTTTTACTGATGCATCGTTATTCAAGATTCTATGTGGACTTGTGTGATTGTCTGTTACAGAACCAAAAATTAACATAAACCGGGTTTTTGATTGATAATCCCAACATAATAAATGTCAGTCAGTCCAGATAGATGCAAATGTTTCCTTATTTTCGCTAGTTTTAGCTTGTTGATATTTAATGAATAAAATGTAAGTAGACAGGCTGTCTAATTATCTTATAATAACTTCACATTGAAGTCAGCTTTGAAGATGTTGTCCAGAAAGACAATGAAAGCTTCAGAATCAAACCATGAAGCTTAGAGAACACAACTACAGATGTATTGTTAGTTAGAAACACTGGATTGTATTTTCAACGTAGGACAAAAGTGTAGCAATTCACGTTACCATACATCATAAAATCACACAAAAAGATGGAGAAATGTTATGCAAAAGAACTATAGTAAGGGGAAATAGGAGACAGAAAGAATAATTATACGGAAAATAGTGAGAATTTAAACGAATTGTAAATTCCTAAAGAGGGAATATATCTGTTCTATTGAGAATGGTTTTTAGTTATGTGACGCTAACACTCTCGGGGGTTCTTTTGTAGAATCCTAGTCATCCATGTCTCACGTGGTACGAGTTCGACCGTCGGCCGACAGACACACTCCTAAACCTAGCTTAACCAGTGACAACTCTGATAAAGAAGAAAGTTTCAGCGTGAAACTAGCATCTCCACCCCGCTAAAAATAAACACCACTCCTACTGAAATTTCAAAGCTGAAGCTAGAAGCCCTATGTTCCACTCAGAACGCTAAGGAATAAAATAAACGGAACGATAACCAACACTCTCTAGATAATGATTCTTAGCGTATGAAGAACCAAAGTCAGGCAGTCTACACCTCACTGAGTAGCTCAAACAAATAGTCAAAAACGTAATGGACCGATAAGATGCTTTGATTTGACAGCCATTAACTCTTCGCCACTCTATTCCTATGTCACCTAACATTACTGGTCAAGAAAGGTGATCGACTGATGTGTGAAACACATGTCCAACCCACTTCAGTCGGCGCTGGACATCGTCAGTCAATTAGATATTAGAATATATTTAACTTGATGAGTTTCAATTTTTCTTTATTTAATCGTCAGCCAATAGCAATTTTGTCATTCCTATTTGCAGATTGACAATTTTAGCTTGCTGAATTTCAAACAAACTGAGTTTGTCAATCAATTTCCTATACGTGTCATTTATTCGTAAAGTAATTTCTTTCAGTGGACGACAGTGAATACGAAAAAGTCACAAACAATTAACAATAAGAGTAGAACTTTCAATTAAGCGTTGTCAAATAAGAGAAATCTTCAAATAGTTAAAGAGATTTATAGCCCAGATGGATGTTTTTCATATTGTTGATGTATTTTCAAAGCTTTTTTGAAGTTTTCGTTGACCCTTTGGACAGTGTTTTCAGTCATAACTTCAGTTGTCTGTTATTCGTCCCTTGAGTTCTGAGTGTAACATAGGGCTTTAACAGAACATCTCCATTTCATCCAGTTCTCTTCATTCCTTTTTAGCCTGCTCCACTATCTCCTCCTTACACGATCTCCTGCATGCCACATTCAGACCTACGCCCAACTCATCATTTACCATTCATCATTCTACTAGTGGGTCTGGAACGTGATGACACTTAACGTTCTCCTCAGTGTATGTCCACTTAATCTCCATTTTCTTTTGCATATTTATTGGGTGATAAGTTCTTCGTTAGTCTACTGCATTCTCAGAGTCCCATGTGGCTTATCCTTTGTTGCCATCTGTTCTTCAGTATTCAGTGAAGGCAACTGTTGGTAAAAGTCTCTGTAAACTATTGGAAATGCTTTCCCCCTTAACACACCAACTCTCTGATCCAAATGGAATCACAAAGTGACTTGTGATATTAGTCTTGAAAATCCAAATCTTGTTCCTTATTCTGAGTGCAAAAGATTTCCAAACTGAATTCAGCGCAGTCAAGGTCCCTCTTGCTTTCCCGAACCTGATTTTGACATCCTCATCCATGCCGTCTGTAGTTGAAATAATAAAATAGTCAAGATTTAGTGTTGTCGTATTCTCGGAGCTGGATGGCGTTTAATTGTGCGGCACTGATTATCCTTTTGTACAACAACACTTTCAGCTCTAACTTCACCTGTCTAGAATGACAATAAAACTGGGGAGTAATGTGATATACTGGTCGATGTCCAGTTTAGAAATAAACCAATCAGAAGTGGCTAACTTAAAACAACGTCAATATTTTATTGATTATGATTACAGACTCATTGACATATCCTTGGTAATATTTTGAATCATACTTTATTGCGTAAAATATACTTTTTAGCTAACGCTGTTGTGTGATTCGCTTAAGTAAAGCGGGCTGGGAATACAGGCATCTATCCTATAATGTTGTTGGCGTAGTCAACTGGCATTCGAGATCAGCGCGTCTAACTCCCTATCCTATTCTATTTCAATCTTAATAATATTACGCAATCAGGCTGTTTGTTAACAGTATACTGAACAGCTGTTACGTCCTAGTTTGAGAGTCTTTAGCAGCACGTACCCACAACCTCACAGAAGATAGAACCCAGGAGATCTTCAGGTGAGATTTTATACCATTCAGTCATCAGGACAGAATCCAGCTCATCAATTTTAACGCCTACTGATTCCCAGCATACATGGGACATCGCCAACCGATGTCATCAGCGAATATTCGGGCTCACTGGTACTTTCATCACTACAGTCAGTTTGTAATTAGTCTTGAAATGAATCAAATCTCTGCAAAATGGAACCTTTTTCCGCAAAAAAAAATAAAAGACAAATTACCTCTTGTTTAGGCATACGATTATATTCATTTTGTAGCATACGTTTTTCATCCTTCAAACCTTCTATGGTATATTTCAATTCATCATTTCTTTCTTCAATTTGTAAAAGACGATTATTTGCGTTTAACAACTGTTCACGTAATCCATCTGATTTTGTATTAAAGCCTTCAGGATAATTATCAGCCTTGGATAAGTACTCATGTAAATTGTCCAATTCAATTGACCATTTTTTAGATAATTGTATTAAATTGAATTCATTATCACGTGTTCTGTGTTAGTAAAACAGTAAAACAAAAGAGAAAAATTAAAAGTGGTTATGTCTGTTTTAGGAGAAAAAAATCATAAAGTTTGTTAAATAAGTTAATAAATATGTATTTTACAGGATTTCCTCATGAGCTGACTGTCATTGGTTAGAGAACCATTGGAAAACCACCTGGGAGTATTGGACAGCTGTTTCGTCAGCCTAGTTTGGGACTCTTCAGCAGTACATGTATTTTATCATGTATTTATGTTTTTTAATATTATGCGTCGGTGGTTCGGCGGTAGAATACTCGTCAACTATGCCTCACTTGCTGCTGTGTTCTGTCCTCGGTCGACGCATATCTAAACCTTACCTAGATTACTAGCTGAAAGTGAGGCTGGTAAAGAGATAGATTTGTCGTGGGGCTAGCAACATCACCACGTAAAAACTAAACATCACTGCTACTGGAACTTCAAAGCTCAAGCTTGAAGCCCTGTGTTTCACTCGGAAAGTAAAGGAATAAAGAAAGATATCAAGTGTTGGTTTGAAGGGATTTGATTTACTACAGGAATGATCACGAACTGATATCAATTAGAGAATCATTGGAAAACCTAAGGGTACTGGAAAGCTATTTCGTCAGCCTAGTTTGAGACTCTTCAGCAGTTAGTGACTGCCAAAGTTCGAACCCAGGACCTCCTGGTTACGACTGGCCCTATACAGGAAGTACCTGCGGTTCTACTGAGAATTCGTAACCAGCCGGGTTCAACAAGTCAGGCAAGAGTACAGTTACTCACCCGTGACGTAGGCTGACAATTGCACTGAATATATCACCGGACACTAGTAACTAGTGTGACGTGTCTAGTCCTTTCTTTGGTGCAGACTGAATTCTATCAGTCAGGTTTGTAATGTGGCCACCATTCTAGGTAGCTCGCCATCAAGGTGCACATTGATTTTAATGGCATAAGATGGTTGGAGGCAATCGGCAGGAAGCCTTGGACCTAGGTTTCAGAAGGGGCATGAGGTCCTTCAAGGTTGCAGATACGCCTTGCTGATGAGTGCCAACTAGCACGAAATCTAGGTCCAAGGCTTCCTGCCGTGTGCCTCCACCGTGATGGATGGCGAGCTACCACCTAGTGGCGTGGTGGCCACATTGCAAACCTGACTGCACCAAAGAAAGGACTAGACACGTCACACTAGTTACTAGTGTCCAATGAAAATACCCACTACAGTCCTACAGGAGGTTAATCACAAGGCCGAATAGCTCAGTGGTAACGTCTCTGACTGCAGTCAGCACTGGGTGACGCGAATTCGAATCTCAGAAGGGACAGGAGTTCCTTCAAGGTTGCAGATAAGCCTTTCTGACTGGTGAGAGCCAACTAGCACGAAACCTAGGTCGAAGGCTTCCTACTGATTGCCCGCAACCATCTAATATGCACCGAATGTATATCACGAATTGGCAGAATTTGGAATTCATGGACTACTGAATTGGGTCCCAGTGGCTTAATGGTTTATGAGCTCACCTCATAGTTGGAAGGTCCCGGGTTCGAACCCCAGCGGTAGCATTCCGATGAAGAGTTCCAAGCTAGGCTGACAAAACAGCTGTCCATTACCCCTAAGTTTTCTTTTGGTTCTCTAACTGATGTCAGCTCGTGATCGGTACTGTAATAAAAAAGATATATTTTAACGTTTCAGTATATTTACTGAAATTATTTTTAAATGTCAAGTTGATTCATTTTGTTAAATTGAAATCTTCTGTTTCTGTCGACATGTCGCCTCCTATTAGGTATTGCTTGGACGATACCTTAAAGTTGGTTAATAACTGCTAACAATGAAATCTAACATCTCCTATTGGATGAGTCAGATGAACATTTTCAAACAAGATGTGACAATCCCAACTTAAAAACTATGGGTACTGAATTCAAGTCTCACTTGGACTACAAGTACATTCAACTGACAAATCCCAAAATGGGACAAAACGCCTTCTTTGGATTACACTGTTAACCAACAGCACACAGATTCCATCAAGATTAATTATTATTATTCGTGAAACAGTTATATATATTCAACACTTTGGATGTTAAGAATCCATGATTGAAGATTTATGGTGAAATAATTTAAGATCCTTCTCAAAGCGGTAAATATTTTAAATCTTCATTATTATCCAAACTCTGGAAATCCCCATTAATTATTCCTTCTGCAACTATATATTTCCGTCTGTTATTCTACTTCAATATTGGAATTTTTTGGAGAACAAATTCAACTGCTGACCTTTCATGCAAAAGTTTGTCTTCATGAGCAAGTTATTTCTATCCGCTTACCTTATTTTTTAATGATTCATTAGACTTGCTAATTACATTCTTAAGGATTTAAGTCAGCTTAGAGTTTTACTCTCTTTTAACGAAGATTAATTTGTCTTTCTTCAAACTTTTATCGACATCTGTCTTCGCTGGCTCCATATTGTGAAGATTAAATGGTCAGCCAGAAAGAATTATCAACAAGAAACTCTAGGAATGAACCAATCAAGAATCTGTTGCTTAATAAATATGCGGAAGAAAACGGAAATGGATCGGACACACGATGAAGAGACCTCTGAGTGATATCGCATGGTAGGCCAGTCTTCGTGTGGAACCTGAATGGGGAACGACGAGTTGGGTGTGGGTGTGAGGGTGACATGGAAGAGATCGTTTGTGTAGGAGATGGGAGTCTATGGGCAACCACAAGGTCAACTAAAGATCACCGCAGATAACAGGACAAAGTGGAGACGTGCTGCTAAAGCCCACTGTACCACTCGGAGCCCATTGGATTGGGTCCCAGTGGCTTAATGGTCTACGAGCTAGCTCGCCTTGTAACCAGAAGGTCCTGGGTTCGAACTCTGTCGGTGGGTGCGTACTGTGAAGAGTCCCAAACTAGGACGAAACAACTGTCCAGTACTAACGGGCTTTCCAATGGCTCTCTAACCGATGTCAGCTCATGACGTAATCCAGTAACCAATCAATCAAATCCCTACAAACCAATACTTGAATAATATAATAACTTGTCTTCAATAATATGGTTTCCAAAAGTGACAGGTTAATCCACATACAGTTTACTGTTACTTTGAATCTCTTCTAAAGCAAAATGTTCAAAATATTATATCGAATTGAACTTATGTCATTTTCAGTATTTACTGACAAGAGGAAGATACACTTTATCAGTTGCGAATGAATAAGAATCACTGAATAGAGAAAGTGTCCAACTTCCGAGGGGATTATAGGTGTTTCAGCTTTCAACTTTCAATTTTCAGTAACAGTGTTGTTGTGGAGTGAATTTTATCGAGTACAGTAGGCAGCCTCAGTAATTCCTCTACTTATCGTAAAATATATTCATGAGACCTATTCATCATGATACACAAGTAACCTAGTAATATAGGTTACACATAATCTATGCTCACAGATAAACTGTCCATGGTGTACAGCAGGAAAAGTTCAAGGTAGACTCTGAATGTGTCAATACTTTAAGTATCTTTGAAAGTGAAAAGCGAGACAGAGACAGTTAAACCAAAGAATGAAGCTTAATCTCATTAATATGATTGTTCTTCGGGTCTTACGCTAGTTTCATGACATCCTCTATAACTGACGTGTTACGTCAAAATAGTAAGTAGATTTCTGTCTTTCTCTCGAAATGCTTTCATGCGGCTACGCGTTGGTAGTCTCTGCCAGGAAAGTCAAAAGCGTTAGGATGAATGTGGACACCTTGTTTTCAACCTGGTCCTGAGAACATGAAGGTTTCACCTGCAGGAGTTGTAAGGCTTTGATTCTGAACTTATGGTACACATGGATCCTAGGATCCGTAAAGAATGAATGGTACATGAACTCCCTTTGACTATGGGTAACCACTGTCAGTTAGATTTCTAGTCAAAGGCTTGATCAATAGTCCTTTAAAACAACAGTCTGCTTTGGTCTGGGCATCCACGGAGTATATCAGTCACTAAACAAAATATGAGAACAATAAACTGACTAAACTCACGTCTACACCATGACTACTACTTCATTCATTATTATTATTTTATTGTTATCCTGATATTTTTCCATCAATTTCTATCATCTTTATTTACTATCCTAATTTTCACCAGCAACTGTTGTTTGAAATATCAGTCTACACGTTTTATCTTGAGTCTCTAATTAGTTATTCTCAGTAAGCTTGTCTTCATGATGACGGTTAACACACCTACTCTGACACCACGTGTCACATACAAGCTTGCTATGTACAACGTTCGAACAACAGTGACAGAATCCTGGATAGCCTAGCCGCTAATTTTTGCTGCATCTCCGATAAAGGAGACCATCGTTTGCATCTCTGTATAGGTCAAAACCTATTTCTAGTCAGTATCAACTTCCTTTGTAGCCGTTGCCGAAGTGCTATCCAGAATCGTCTCTTTCCACTTGCAACCTGAACTTAAATAAATAACATTAACTACTGATGGTGTGACAGTAAAAAAAGACTACCAGTCGTCTAATATTACTTATCAGGATAGAAATCATCCCTCAGTGTGATCCATGTTTTTCTTCAGATTTAGTATTGATCATAAGACTTACAAGCGAAAACCGACAAACTGGTCGAAGAAGCAGCAAAGACAGGACTCCAGGTGAACATAGACAAGACGGAGGTTATGAAAATAACCGACCAGCAACATCAACAGCAGCAATATCCAGCGCCAATCACCATCGACGGGAGGGATTTGAAAGAGTTTACTTCATTCACTTATCTAGGGAGTATTGTCTCAACTACAGGAGGAACGGACAAGGACGTCAAATCGAGAATCGGGAAGGCGAGGGACACATTCCTCAATCGCCCAACAAATATGCAGGAGAAAGTGGAGATGGATTGGACACTCCCTGAAGAGGCCACTGGGTGACATCGCACGTCAGGCCCTCGAGTGGAACCCGAAAGGGAAGCGGCGAGTGGGACGTCAGTGCAAGGGTGACATGGAGGAGATCGTGTGAGGAGGAGTTGAAACAATATGGACTGACATGGATGCAGGTGAAAAGTACAGCAGAAGACAGAAGCAAGTGGAGACGTGCAGTTGAAGCCCTATGCTCCACTAGGAACCCAAGGGAACAATAAATAATAATAATAAAGTGTCGTCCTAATTAGGTCAATGTAAGCAAAATGGTTGCACCTGGTTTTGCTCCAATAAATCAAACACATCTATGTTCATGGTTATCTACTGAACTTTCAGATAGCATAGATGGACACTCATGAAGATACTTAATAAACACACTAAGAAGAATATCAAACTGAAATCCACTAATTTTCACAGCTCTTTAGAGGCTTCTTGTAACCTGTCGGTTCATGTAAGTGGGTTAATAAGTCTAATAAACTACGTAATCCTCTTATGCATAAAATTAAACAGTGCCTATGTATGAACTGCCAAGCCTGGTGGTTAGCAACTGCATCCAACAATAGTTGGGAAATGTTATAGCTAACGTGAGATACTGTAATCGAGATGATACATAAGGTAGATCGCATCGGTGACAGTATTCAGTATTCTTGATTGCAGCTCTCCCTCCTCCATTAACACCGACCCACCTGATGAAGCAGAAGCTCGAAGTAATCTCTTAGTTTCAGAGTGTCATAAGCCTCACTTCCGAGAAAAACTGCCCGCGAAATTTTCGGAAGATGGTGGTAAGACTCTATTCAGGAAAGTGATTTGCTAAGAGCAGTCTGAGTTTCATTCACGTCATGGATGCATAGATCGCATCTTAACACTCTGTTAGAACACCGTTACAGATATTCAATGTTAACAGTCATTGTATTTCTTGATACATTCCTGACTGAAATTTGTTGTACAGGTCTGCTCTCTAGAATTATCTAATAGAGAAGTAGTCCTGAGGAGTTTATCAATACCCTAAAATCTCCACGGAGAAACATCTCAGTTAAAGTAAAGACATACAGCCAGCTTTCACAACTAGCAGCTTTCCCAATAGTGCCATTTTAAACATGGTTGTGAACTGTGTGCTTGGCAGGAACGCAGGTCTGATGTTTGGTGAAAGACATTACAACACTTAGTGTGCAGACGTTACCGTGTTACTACAAACAGGCTACCCAAATTACACTTAGCGACTCAGTTCGATACTCGTATACTGTGTGCATTGCTCTGTGTATGAGTAAAAGTCTGCTGCATGATTATCAAGAGATTGTACACACATCGACCTTCGCGGACTAACCTTCAGAATTGAAAGATAAGGTAAAAAACTGGACACGGATGAAGTCTATAATAGTAAAGTGAAGGAGAAACTGGTATAAGCTAACATGAGCCCAAGTTAGTGGTGTCGAGATTCTGTAGTGACCCATGTTATTACTCATCATAGTACTATACTTTCATTGTGTAATTGTACTTTGATTTGTTATTACTCTAAATCTTGCATGTTAACAATTGATACTTTTTGCACTCGCTCGATTTTTGAATTGTTGATTGCTGCAATAATACACTGTCGTATTCCTTCGCAAATGCCTTTTGAATTACGTTGCGGATGTCGAGTAATCGCAACGTTAGGACACAAATATACGCGAGAAGTACTAATATACGTGTATCTAGTTAAGTCAAAATATAGCAGCAACAATTACATCACTTTACGGAATTTTCTGTAGCACTTTCTGTTATGCTTAAATGCCCGAAACAGAGTCAAAGATCAATATGAAATGTCAGAAAACACCATAAAACCAAAATCTTTTATAATTTAGATTGATCAGCTCTTTTGTACTGGATATATGAAATGAAAATTTCTATCCAAAAGCCGAATTACGAAGCATACTTATCACCTTGGAATGATAAACAGTTAAATCAAGGCTAAAATATGTGATTTTATATAACAAAAAATGAGGCGTGTATTTACTTGGAAAGAAGACCAGTTAGTTTGAAAAACCGATGTTTCATTTGAGCAACTTGAACATTGCTTAGCTTGCCTTCATATCCAAGATTTTCTACCGAAGTGATCGCGGGATGTATGCTGACGGTAGAAGAATCTTCCCGTTTAATTCTCGAGTCATCAATTTCATCCAGCTCGACTTCATCTAAGTGCTGTAATGGATCTTGAAAGCCTTCAGGTTTAGCAATCAGAATTTCTACATCATCAGGAACTGTACATATTATAAATAATCCAGTTAGGAATGAATCTACCTATCTGCTCTGTATGGTTTCTGGGGACTGGAGTAGGACACTGTTTTGCCTCGGACAGATTTGAAGAACTATTTTCTTCATCTTCACTCATTTGAATTGCCGCTGGATAACATTTACATTTCGCTCTTACGTTGCCATGGTGTTGGCTTACTTTTGTGAGGACAGAAGTTTAGCCATTTGGCATAAAACTAATAAGTTAATAATACTTCTGTAAAAGATTTGTAATCAAAATCATTTTTTGTTTTAATTACTATGAATCACCTCAAGTTGGTTGTGCTCGGTCCAAATGAGGTTACAACTTATAAAGGATAATTCAGTCTTTATGTATTTTAGAGTGGGAAATCGTATATTTGTAACTTTCTTTCTGAGACCGTGGAACAAGTTACTGGAGATTATCACCCAACCAGTGGTGTCAGGTATATATCTTTATCTCACGTCAATAAGTTCCCCAAGAATCTTGGAATACGAACAAAAATTGAAAGTAAAAGGAAAGGTAGTTAAAGTTGAAGTGGAGCTATGGGATGTCAGTGGGGACAAAAAGTAGTTATATATCTTCATCTTATGTTGTTTTTACAACTGCAGATTTGAAGCTTGTTGGCCAGCTATTTTCAAAGGATCTCATGGAATTGTGTTTGTGTATAACCCCGATAATTCAAATCACGAAAAAGAGTTGAATGAATGGCAAGTTTTCAATTCATTATAACGTTGCTTTAGGTATCAGGCGTTGCCTCAAAGTTTAAGCCTAAAGGATCAGCAGTTCTGTATCATCGCACACAAGAAACCCGACTCACCAGATAGAGACATAGTGTCTTTGCGTAAGTTAAGTTTACAGGAAATATCCCCTTGTTACTAGCCTCTGTCTTTCACAAATTCTTCCAGTGTTATTCCAATATACCCAAAGACGGTGAAAAACTCAGGGAGCAGTTCGGAAAATTCGTATCTCAACTAGCTTGTGGAAGACTAGAAGCTAACGAACAAGAAGAACTCAACATTATGAACTGTTAGACAGTGGTTGTGATTAATATCTAGGCTTGTATTGCTATTTTCTAGCTGAATATATCTTTTTGCAAATATGAGAAAACATCAAACTCGAATTTTTATTCTTGATTCACATTTGGAGGCATAGGGCATAAGTTAATACTTTTGTATTAAGAATTTCTGTTTGTATACTCTCATCTTGAACAACTCTATTGGAGACAAAGTCACCACTTTTATCATTTAGTTCCAGATTACTGAAGAAGTAATAGTAGTCTTGTGATATTATCCTTCTTTGGCTTTTGAACTCTCCGGCTGTGTTTTCTTAGATATTTCTGTCTTACTTGAAGTAATGGAGGAGTTAAGAGAGGATCGCTGGAGTTTCTTGAAATTAGTTGTATTATAACTAAGTGCCTTTCTATCTACAGCATCCAAATGAGAGAAGATCCAGTCTTCCTCTTGTGATAAACTGTTTAAAGCGGATTTCATATATGTGACTGATTCTTGAAGTTTTTTGGTATGCGCGTGAGCTGTTCGACAATGACTAGTGCCTTTATTGTGATTTTCGCTTACAATCCACCGGAGATATATATGACTGGTCATTGTACGATTGGTAACCTTAGTAAAAGGAACTCCTGTGAGGGTTTTTAGACATCGAGCTGCAACTCAGTGATAATGTAATAAGTCGCAAACCTTGACTCACTGTTATGCTTAGATCATTGCACATCCTAGTTGAAAGGAGAGGTGCCTTCTGTTTATGCTGAGTTGAAAATTGCATGCTCAATTAACATAGCCACAGACATACTTACACTAAGTGGAAACGTTCATTATTTTGACCGAATTAACAAATCATTACGTATATGCGGATCCCCGTCATACTTTTCCACCCTCTAATATCATTGATGCATCTTGCAACCTTCAGAGAGCCCGTGTTACCTGCTGATTTACAGGAAAAACATACCGTCTTCTATGAAACTCCTCCTACTGATGGGTACTTCTTCAGTTTAAGTGAGTAGGTTGCCTATGTTTATACATACCTTTATGAGAAGGTATAACTTTCAAGCTTCGTATGGATTTCTTAACATATCCTTGTCTATTGTAAGTAACCAAATGTAGGACATTGTGCTTTTCTGTATATTTTAGTTTACGAATAACTTCTTATAATGTTGTCCAATGACCTAAGAATTGTAATTCACAGCCAAAAATTTCATGTTCAAACATTATTCCATATACTTCACCCTTAATAACTGTTATTGCAAGACATTACACGTCAACTATCTTCTACTGTGTCATATATAAACGTATATGGAGTCTATGAGTCATATTCAGTTGCACATGCTTTAATACACTTCAGTCTAATACTAACTATATTTTGTAACACTAATAGAAGTCACAAAAGTTTATATATGTTGAACAGATGTCAAGTATTTACCTTCAGTAGAATTATTGTAAGGATCTGATAACTTTAATATTGTTTACTCAGTAAATATAATGAGTTGAAAGTGTGTTGCTGTAAGTCATTGATTATCCCGACTTACAAGAAGGGAAACAAAAGTTCCTGTGATAATCACTGGGGATAAGCTTGACTAATATGGTATCTAAAGTTCTAGGCTCAATAATAATGCGTAGACTAAGCAGTCCACGGAAGGCACAAACACGAGAGAACCAGACAGGCTTTAGACCAGGAAGAGTGTGCATTTATTATATCTTCACCCTTCGACAGATTCTGCAATATAGACATACTTACCGGCGGCGTCCAACAATGGTTATATTTCTTGACCTAAAGGCGGCATTCGATTCTGTCGACCAGGAAGTACTTTAGGGATGCTTGACTGTGGAAGTAATGCCGAAAAAATACATCTCACTGATCAAGGCATTCTACTCAAACTCATGCATTCAGGTGAGAGCTTACGGCGAGTTGTAATCTGAAGTGGTGACGACTAATCGTGTCCGTCAAGGATGCCCACTATCCCCATTTTCTATTCAATTTCATCATGGGTGTACTAATGAACTTAACCCGAAGTCACTTCAGAGAATCAGAAATTAACTTGTTACCATCAGGGAATAGTCGTGCCGACTTAGAATACGCAGATGATATAGCCCTTCTAGGTGAAGACACTGACAAAATGCAGAGTCTTCTGAACACCTTGAGTTGCAGTCTGCGTATATTTGGCATGTTCCTCGCTCCCGTAAAGTGTAAGATGATGCTACAAGACTGGATTACATTGACTTCCAACTTAGAAATAGGGAGTGAAGTGGTAGAGCACGTTGACCGCTTCACTTATTTGGGAAGTTGCATCTGCTAACGCCAGAGGGTTGGTCGTTGACGAAATCTCAGCACGGATACAGAGGGCTCGTTTAGCATATGCCAGTTTACTCTGTCTGTGGCGTAGACGTAATATTCGGCTGGCTGTCGACCAAAGGGGATGTGTACTGGTCAGCAGTCCGCTCCATCCTCCATTAGGGATGTGATACCTGGCCACTGAAAGTGGAAGACATGAAAAGCCTGGCTAGCTGTTTTGATCATAGGTGTCTGCGTTGTATCTCCCAAGTTTAGTGGTATAATAGGGTGAGCAATACTGATGTTAGGCGTCGAGTGCTAGGTAAGGAGGGGAAATTAATTAACGATGCTGTGCAGCTACATCGACTGAGATGGTTAGGACATGTGTTAGGCATGCCTAGACTACCCATCCCCTTTCTCAACAAAAGGCAATGTTAGCTGACATAGAGTTAAGTTGGAACAGAGCCAGTGGTGATCAAACCAAAACATGACTTCATCAGTCAATGAAATCCATAACAGTAGGGAGGTGTAGACTTCATGGTTGGGGTCCTCGGGAAGGTAAACACCGATGAGTGGAGACAATTGCCGATATAGCTCAAAATCGTTCTTAATGGTGCCGATGCATCTACTCCTTGTGACTTATAATTTCCAGTGAAACTGTATTGTTCTCCGTTATTACTATTCCTTTTGTCTCATCCCTGTGTACTGTCTCTGTTTTGCATTTCTGCCCTTGCTTTTTGTGCCACATAGAGTGTGGCGACTTGAACTACTGCACATCGGTGCAAAGTTCTATTTTGAAAACAGACAGAAAGTTGAAAGTGTTTTTCTAATCCAAAACTATATAAATAGGTAGTATTATACTGAATGACTTAGTGGATTTTGTGGCATAGTGAAGAAATTGATGCGTATATCCTTTATTTCTTCAGTTACTCAGGTTATTCGTCTCTACATGGCTTCAGTATTATTTGCGCACAGTAATGCTGTCGTTTTGGTATTCATTCTTTTCATATATATATATATATATATATATATATATTTGAGCAGTGCTAGGTAGTAATAGGTAATCCCTAAGTCCCAATTTTATGCTAATGAATGATTTCAGAATTAATTTATTCTTAATTTTATCACTAGCTTGCTTTACACAGATTCAAAATAGTAAAATCTACTCACTCTAGATAAGACATTTACGTAAATCCTAATTTGTTTCCAGCTGTGTTTAAATTAAAATAGATTAGAAAACAGAATCCATTAAATACATTAAAAAATATCTCCTAGACTGTTTGAACTTTCATCATCTAATCAATATGCTTCACTGGTTCACAATGGTTGAATGCTCGTCAGCCACTACGTGAGAGATGTGAGTTTATTTATGGGTCAATATACTTCTAAACCTTGCCCAGCCGATTTTCAGCCCAGTGAAGTGAAAAAGCTGGCCATACGACTAGCAACCCAACACCGTAAGAAAACAACACAACCGCTACCCAAACTAAACAGACTGAAGTCGCTTGTTCCACTTGTGACGAAAGGAACAATAAAAAGATCTATTCAGTAATAAATTCTCTTTACTTCTGTTTAAATTTTATTTTATTTAGACCACCACACTCCATCATTGCCATGTTTTGGTCGGTTGATATCATTAGATACATATTTTACTTTATCAGCGAAATTATGGTAGTAATATGAAGACATATATCCAACGAGAATGGAGATTTGACTGCAACTACTAACCATCTGTCCATAAAATGATATAAAACTTAGATTCAGCCCCATATATTTGGTCTCAGCTCTTTATAACACATTTCTTCCAACAAATCCTTGATGTTCTGGTTATGGTCAAGACTAATGATATTTAATATAATGTAAATATGTTGATATAGTGGTACCTAATAATATATGAGAGAACAAGTTCATCACAAGTAGTTCATATATTCAGAGTTTTGCTATGCAAAGAGAATACATATTACCAAATGTGAGCTATTTCACTATTCGCCTACTGAATCTTAACGACCCCTAAGAAACAACTTCCATAGCTAAATAGTAGAAAGAATCAACAAGCTGTAAGGTTTTGTTATAGAAAATCAATAATTTTGAAATGTAAACTGTTCACAGTTAAATACCTGTAAACATGTTGCTATTAGATAGTAGGACTGCAGGTTTGTATTGGATAATTATTCTTTGACTTGACAATAGTCACTAACTAGTGTAATGTGTCTAGTTCTTTCTTTGGTGCAGACTGAATACTATCAGTTAAGTTTGCTGCTGCTATATTTTTGACTGAACTAGAATACACGTATATCTTAGTACTTCTTCGCGTTTATATTTGTGTCCTAACGTTGTGATTACTCGACATCCACAACGTAATTCAAAAGGCACTTGCGAAGGAATACGACAGTGTATTATTGCAGCAATCAAAATTCAAAAATCGAGCGAGTACAAAAAGTATCAAT